TTCTTCCCTGGAAGAGGGAATGACGCGGATCACCCAGGACAACAAGATTCTGAAGGAGACGGTTTTGGACCTTCAGGCCCGTAGCATGAGGGATAATTTGGTGTTCGCAGGCCTGCCAGAGCAGACTGGAGGGGCCGAGAACTGCGAGCAAACAATAAAAAACTTTCTCCAGACCCAAATGAAGATGCCCGAAGAAACGGTAAAAAACATCACCTTTCAACGGGTACATCGCCTTGGAGCTAAAAGAGTAGACAGCAGAAGACCTCGTCCCACCGTGGCTAAATTTGAACATTTTAAGCAGAAGGATCTTGTTCGGGTCCTGACATGTATGCTGCCAGGGAGAAGGCAGGAACATGCAGCAATGCCTGACTCGGGTTCAGGGGCCTCAGGTAGACCTTAGCTCCTCTACTGTCCCATCACAGGGGAGGGGGAAGTCCAGGAGGGGGAGGACCCAAACTTACTTTGATGTCCTATGTCTTATATAATCTAGAAGTTGTGCAAATGCAGGGATGGGCGTAGATATTCTGCTGGGATGGGGCTGGGTTGGTGCCCTCGGGCTCCGTGAGGCTCTGTGATGCTGCTGCTTTGGGCCCTGGCAGGATGGGCTGGGGTCTCCACGCTCTGGGTGGCATTTGAACAATAGAGGTGCCTATTGAGGCCAGTGGGGGAGCTAAGCCCAACCAGCCATTCCTCTCCATCCCCACACATTTCTCTCCTCCTGCTCCCTCCCATCATCACACAAACATGCACATAGGACCTTGGGGGGTGGACAAGTCAGGGAGTGCGGGTATGGACCCCATTTCCGCATTCCTGTGGCAACCTGCCCCCCAATTTTATTTGCACCTTATACACTTCCACCGACGACATTCCATGCAAACACACACTTAGGGCCTTGGGAGTGAGCACATTCAACGGCATTTGGCAGGGGGATTTCTCAGCCTCTCCCCGAGTGCCGGTGCCCACTTCCAATTTTAAACTGCACTTAGACACCGAGGGCTGTGGGTGCAAGTGGGGTGGTGCGGTGGTATCAGCTGGCATAGGCCAGACGATGCCTGCAGTGCCCGCTCACCACAGCCATGGAATACACCTCATCAACACTCACTAACACCATATTGGAGCAGGCGGAGGGAGACTAGGGGTCTTAGCACACCTCTGTTGTCTCTTGGCTTCCTGGAGCTGGAGGCTAGGAGGTGGTGGTGGGTTGCTGTGCTCAGCATTGGGCGGGGGAGCCTGCTCAACAGCACCCCAGCAGAAAGGGTTGAACTCTGGGAACCGGTGATGGTTGTACCCCGTGTGCATCAGTATCGGGACCAGAGTGAATAGGGTGTGTATGGGGAGCATGAGTGGGTGTCTGGCGTGCATTTTTGTAAGTCTTTGGTTGTATGTGCATGTGTGAGCATGAGGGAGGGAGTGTGTGACTGTGTTTGTGTATGACTGTATATGTCACGTGGGGCCTTTGACTTCTCCCTTCTCCTAGGACTTCTTTTGATGATATAGATCTTCGTCTCCCCACCATAAACATCCAAAATGCAATTCTCAAACACCCCTTCCCACTCTGCCTCATGGCTCCTCCCAGAACCTTTAAAATGGTGCCCATGTTTCAGGGGAAACCCTTAACAGGACGCCCTGGAGAAGACAAGACAGGTAAGTTCGGTTCATTTACCTATTTAAAATTCAGTCCACACACAGAACACATTACTGTCAAAGAGTTATTGCCCATGGTCAAACTGACTGAATATTATCTGTCCTGTTTAGGTGGAACCAAACCATCCTCCCCCAGCTGGAACCAATCAACCAGACAAACATTTGGACAAAGTGACAAAGAAATAAACAGTTTTTAAAATAAGACTTGAATCAATGATTGCTGCTAGGATTTAAGTTAACGCCATGGTGTGAAATGTAAAAATAGCCACTAGTAACAGTTTCCTCTGTTACAGGGTCATTTAGAAACGGGTCTGTAATTATTTATTAAGCCTGGTATTTGTTATTCAGTCCCTTATTTGTCCACTCTTTTCATTTCTTGAGGCTCACTCTGCACGAATGAACGAAGAAGCAACAGCATTCCAAAGAAAAGTTGAGAAATCCTGTAGAACTGATTAAATAAACATCACAAGAAGAGCAGAGATATGAAATAAGGATTGTTTACTTTCACTCATTCATCTTTGAGATTGGTATTCATCCTTTTAGTTTATGTTTTTGTTACCCAGCCGCCTTTAGATCAAACACACAGCACGGTCTCGTAGCAGACTTAAAAGAGCAGAAGCTGTCACTGGAACAGATTTTTTAGACTCCCTGGCCTCAGCAGTCCTCCTCAGTGTGATGTAAAACCCAACAGGTAAGGCGTCGCAGGCGTTATGGGCATTTGCGTTAAAGGTCACAGCTATAAGACAGATGTAAAGTGGCAGCCAAGTTGCCGCAAAGCGAAAATCCAGATTTTAGCTTTATTTGAAGAGAGGAAATCTCTGCATCATTAATTGTCTATTAAATGAAGATTAGCTGCTGCTTTAGGGCTGATTCATGCTGGATCTCCTGCCATCTCTAGATCTGGCTGTCCAGGGTCTGCTGCATGGTCGCCGCACCGCCACAAGCCTGACGGGAAGCGCAATGACGAAAGCAATATCCATAGAGACAGCTCTGCTCTTCTGCTCACCTGCCTGCCTGCACATTGACCAGTTACATCTCTAAAGTGAAGTGATGCCAGTCACACCCCAAACATCTGCTCTTTCATTCACAGGACCAAGACAGGATGTCACGTCAAACAGCTGGCTGCTCATCAATCTGATGTTTGTGGAAAGCAGAGAGGAATTTGTGGGCACCACGTGTTTCTATGGACGTCAGGAAAATATGTATAAAGATGCAACAACAGATTCATTTGTCCATCCCAACAGTGCCATCATGTGTCCAGTAAACCACAGACGCAACCAGGAATAGGCCGGGTTGTCTCTGAGAAGGACCAATGTCCTCCTGCAGCTGGACAGGAGGAGGACACCCACCTGTAATCCTCAAAAGTTTTGGCTTTAAAAAGCAGCAGCTCTCTGTCCCGTAGTGTGTTTGAGTGTTGAAGAGAAGTTCAGAGGTGCTTCACACGAATCACCCTGTCACCCCTCTGGGATTCATCCAAACATCAGAAAAAAACACATCAACTCTTTCATTTTCACCTGCGCTGTCACACAGCGGGCAGCCGATGCTCTGTCACCACCTGTTGAACAGCAGCCTGTGGGTTTCTGTTCCCATCGCTGACTGTTTTAATCCCTAATCCAACACCTGACTTTTTACCATTCTAAACAAAAGGCAGGAATATTCACAGCGGACGCAAAATTCATCACACTTCCACTCCCGTTGTCCTACCTTTCATCTGTGTCAACTGCAGCAGGGCTCTCCTTCTATCCCGAGTCTCCTTATCCTGGAAGATTCCGCCTCCTCTCCTACCTTTAGCTGCTGTTTATTTTTTTCTTTCTCTGCGTTCGTTGTTGCGTAGAGGCAAGGAGGGAGCTGCCACAGGTGGCAGGAACTACACATGCAGTGGCTGCAGAGGAGAAGGCGGCTGCTGCTGCAGCAGTTCAGTCAGGCACGGCAACATGTGGTCACAGAAAATGTTTCATTTATCCTCTCCTCCTCCTCCTTCTCCTCCCTGTGTGGATGGTGGAGTTTGAAATTGAAAAAAGGAGGCTCTAAGAGAGGGTCCAGACACTCACCCCTCCCCCTCCTCCTCTCCCATCACCATTCACAGCATCATCATCCCCACCCACTCACTTGAGCCCTCGCTGACATCACAAGTCATTCAGGTATCTGTTTTATTAGCAGATCAGTGAGCGTGCTGTGTGCTTAAAACACCAGCAGATGGGTGAGAGAGGGCGCAGCACCCCATGTCTGTCCATCTGCCTGTCTGCCTGCCTGCTGTGAGACAGGAAACCACAGGCGGGAACGTTTTGAACCCAAACTGTTTTTTTTATTTGGGTCGTGTCTGTATTTTGTGATCAGTTTGATCCATCCGTTTTCTGCGTGAGGTTTCCATGACAATTAATGTGCATGTGAAAAATTCATTTTGCTGCTGTTGTGAACACGTAGTGTGTGTGTGTGTGTATGGGGGGGTGAAACTCATCCACCTCTAAATTGGATCAACCTGCAGCCAATAAAACTCACCCATCTCCCCCCTCCTCACCTCTCTCTCTCTCTCTCTCTCTCTCTCTCTCTCTCTCTCTCTCTCTCTCTCTCTCTCTCTCTCTCTCTCTCTCTCTCTCTCTCTCTCTCTCTCTCTCTCTCTCTCTCTCTCTCTCCTTGTTTCCACCACTCACCCGAGCTCACTTTCAATCTCACACTCAACAAATGACCAAATGAAGGCGTATTACCCACAAACCCAGTGGTTTGAGTTAAAGTTGATTAAATTGCTCAGGAATTGGACGCATGGAGTCCCACACCTTATTGATAAACTTTATTCTCAAAATAATTTATTATCTGAGAAAGCACAAAAACACCTGTTTTTAGATTGTAAACCACTTAATCGACTTACTTTTTTTTTTTTTTTACAAAAATGTTAAAGAATATTAGCAAGAACATCATTTAATTAACTACATTCTTTCTCGTGTAAAGTGTATTAGTCCGTTGAAAGAATGAGCCATTTTGTAAAGAAAGTCTAATTTGTCACTAAAATGTTTTAATTTGTTTTTCTTTAACATAAAATTGCTTAAGGTTTGTCTGATGAAACATACAGATATACTACCTCTTGACTTAGGTAAATGCATTCTGAAAAAGAAATTATCACCAGACAATTTTCTTATTGACTATATGCTAATCGAACATACTGATGATCTAATTATCATTAAGTGTGAGTTCCTCTATAAAAGCAGACGTTGTGGTCGTCTTCTGGTCCGGAGCACACACCTGCGTGTTAACATCAGGAAGCAACACATCAGCAATGATTCAACAGAAGTTATTGTTGCTGCCTATAATCTGAGACTAGCTAGAAGGTGTCTCGGGTGTCTTTATGTATAAGTGTTTAACACTAAACACAGCGTACCACAAAAGAATACATGGTTAATGCTCCACAGCTTTCTGTCTATGCTCCAGATGTTTGTGTCAGGCTGAGATGATAAGAAGCTAAAGCACGTGAACACATGTTGGGAGCATCTTGGTGACAGAACAGCGAAAGTGAAGAGGATTATCAATCATCTAAACCAAAATTCAATAGTCAATATTATAGTAGTTGTGTGCTTTTTTGGGGTAGAGCCAAACATCCCAGCTGTAAAGTTTTGTTTCAGGTTTTCTTTTTAATGTTCAGACATTTTTATGTATAAGTGTTTAACACCAAACACGTGTGCAGGCAAACACACTGACTGATCTGTTTTGAGAGTGTATAGGACTGATGAAGTAGCAGCTAGTCTGCATGCACAAACAGTGTTAAAATACGTCCTAAACGAAACAGTGCACAGTACAAATAGACAATTGCAAATCAACTGGGTTTAATCCATATTTAAATAAATTGAAGCCTAATTGTTCTAAATGACATATGTAGATGCATCAATGTACAAAAGACATGTGTTTTGCATGTAGTTATAGTTCCCCCCTCTAGGTGGCTCACAGTTAACTGACGCTTATTCTGGGCATTACATAAATCGGAGTTTAATTTTTCTTGTGCGTCTATTGATACACAGTTACATCATATGTCTATAGATTGTTGCTACATTCTTGTTTATTAGATGTCACAGAGCTGCATTTACACTGTCCTGTCCTGACCCCGTGACCCTGAAGTCACGCACCAGGTACGCTTTTTGCGGTTCCTTGTGACGCCTTCAAGTTTTCTTAATAAAGTTCGTAAAACTAAAGTTTACATTCTGACTCATTACGTTTTTAAATCTAATTGACAAGTAATATCGTGTACTTTATAAATAATACGATATTTTGCTTTATTATATCACGCTTATCAAGCATGACACAAAATGTAAATAAAATAGAAAACAAAGTGTGGACAGACTTATTTCATGAGTTAATATTTTAACCCAATAAATACCCAAAATAATGATTTAGTAATATTATCTTTATTATTATTATTATTATTATTATTATTATTATTATTATTATTATTATTATTATTATTATTATTATTATTATATCGGCATAGATAAATGTTTTTTTTTTTTCATTTTCATGTAATAGAACAAATAGTTCCTTTTAGCTGAGTGTTGAAACACCGACTTTTCCGTTGTCCGTGAAGGCAACAGGAGAAGTCCGTTGATTGGTATGTTGGTCTGGGGCGGCGGGAAGAAACCAACGGCGAAGTAAATTTTGTTTAGTCTTGATATAACTGCTGAACTATTGGATAGAAACCCGAACAAAGACTCGGGGTTTTGTTACATTTGACGTTCAAGGACTCAAACCTTCATTTTGTGGATGAGTTTTAAGGATAATCGTTAGTTTAGCATACGAAGTTAGCTAACTAGATAAAAAGCTATTAGCTCTCTTATTATCGACTCTTTTTTTTGATAGCTCGACTACTCTTAGACGATGAGCGATTGCAACGTTAAAGAAGATTTAAATGGTAATTTAAGTGATCGTTGTGCGTGTTATCATGTGTTTGAATTGAATCCTAATTGTTTTCGCCTGTCGCATTGGTGTTAACGCTTGTAGCCAACATCGGGCCTAAGAAGAACAGAAGTGTAGACATGGACGACGGACAAGGGGACAAAGCGGAGCTGGCTGAACAGTCCCTGCTGAACAAACTGATCCACCGCTCTCTGGTGATCAACCAAAACCAGGTGGAGGTCATGCAGGCAGACCCCTCCTCCCCCCTGTTCTCCGTCAAGACCTTTGAGGAGCTCAGACTGTGAGTGCTGATGAGAAGAAAACCTAAATACTAATCATATTTTTTAATTGACCCATTTAAATCTCTTTCTGTCGTGTATGTTAGGAAACCTGAGCTGTTGGAAGGTGTTTACAGCATGGGTTTCAACAGGCCATCAAGAATCCAGGAGAGCGCTTTGCCTTTGATGCTGGCTCAGCCGTGAGTTCACTTGTGCTCTTATGTGATGCTGCCTAAACTGCTACTTTACTAAAGATTTTAAAGGTCTTCTAAACATTATTTAGATGGGGAAAAAATATATTTGCTTCTTTAGATACCAAGTAATTTTTTATGTGTTCTCGTTGGCTGGATTTATTCTAGTTGCTCAACACAACAAAAGTAAAAGTTCATGATCTGGTTCAGAGGGCTGTGATGGTAAATGGCCTGTATTTGCATAGCACAGTTTGGGGTTCCACAACCCCTCAAGGTTCACAACACAATCAGTCATTCACACATTCACACGCTGGTGATGATGAGCTACGATGTAGCCACGGCTGCCATGGGGCGCACTAACAGAGGCGAGGTCTGCAGAACACTGGTGTGACGTGTCCCTCCGACCACCAGTGTCTTACGAGCTGCTGCTGTCAGGATGAAACTCACTGATGCATCATGGGTCATTTTCAATGACTCAATAATTTCCTATCATTCATGTTTTATTAACTCATTCACTGCCAATGACGACTAAAGTCGTCATTTGCATTTTTTACTGTTTGAGCATCGGAACGAGCCCCCGCACTGAGAGAACAAACATCTCAGCCCTGAAGCCGATCTTCATCCGCATACGTCACACGTCACATGATCAGGAAGCAGACCATCCATGTATTAGGAGATCGTTTTGGGCCGTTCCTGTAAAAAAAAGTGAGGCGTGAACCGGAAAAGCGTCTGCCGATCACAATTCGACAACGGATTATGAAAGAACGGATAACGCTCGAAACACGCGGATTCTTCCTGATGTAAGAGGTGAGTCTCCTCTTTGTTTTGGTTGTTTTGGCATCGACATAATCCTAGCGTGCAACGTTCTGTGACTCTTAAAAAACGGTGAGAAACGCTGGCAGCGAAGGCCGTTAGTGATCAGGAAACGGCTGGCAGTGAGTGAGTGAGTTAAATTTAAAACATCTAGAAATAAAATACTGAAATCACAGTTTTTATGAAAGCTGGTGTATAGATGTACATTTACCTATTTAACGTGTTTGTCCTTGTTCAAAAATAGTCTGAGACCAATCACATTTAAACTAGGGAAAAACTTTTGATTAAACTATAATTAAATTAATAAATGAAACAGTATTAAACCCCTGCCTCTTTTCACTTTTGCTCCTAGTCGATACTTAAAAAATGGCTGTAGTTGTATGTATTGTGTAAAATCTCCGCGCACTGGAAAAAGAGCAGTTCAAATCGATCATGAAACCTCCCGAACTCCTGATCCTTCTGCCCCTGAGGAGAGGATAGAGCCCTCTGATCACAGCTGTTTTATGTGAACTCTTTTCTTGTAGACTGCAGAATCTGATCGCTCAGTCTCAGTCTGGTACGGGTAAAACTGCTGCCTTCTGCCTGGCCATGCTCAGCCATGTAAATCCTGCCAATCAGTGGACTCAGGTAAGATGAGCTTCAGAGCTTCTATGGTCTCCTGGACCAGCTGGTGTCTTTAAATCAGAGTGGGAAAACCTCTCTCTCCTTTAGTGTCTGTGTGTCGCTCCAACATATGAGCTAGCCTTGCAGACCGGCCAAGTGATAGAGCAGATGGGGAAGTTCTGCCCAGATGTAAAGCTGGCATATGCCGTCCGAGGGACAAAAGGTATTCCTGCACTTTTAGTCCTCAGCTGGAGTGTGTTGCTGCCTGGTGTAACCTCTAGAGCTGTCTTTGTGTTCAGCCGTGAGAGGGAGCAGGCTGCAGGAGCACATTGTGGTTGGAACACCAGGGACGGTTCTGGACTGGTGCACAAAGTACAAGATGATTGACCCCAAGAAGATTTCCATCTTTGTGCTGGATGAAGCTGATGTGATGATCAACATGCAGGGCCATCGGGATCAGAGTATTCGGATCCACAGGCGGGTTTTCTTCTCACAAAACTCATCACCAATTTAAAGAGCAAGTCAACCCCTGCCAGATTCTTACTCAACTCCCTCTTCATGTTTGAAAAATGCAACAAATGCTGTTGCCTTGCAGACCGAGAGGGCGGAGCTGCAAACCAATACACACACAGGCTCACAACGACATTGTGACATCATAAGGACCAGTTTACATCATAGCATACCTCTTAGCCAATAGCAGTGGCAGATTTAAATTCAAATGCAGTGCAGAGTTTTTACCTGACGACGGCACAACACTGACAGTTTTAGGCAGAATATTTAAATTTTAACTAAGAGGCACTGAAGTGCCAAATTATTGACTACACGTGTCTGCAGCACGATTAGACACACATTTATGTAGTTTATCAGCAAAAAAAAAGTTGATTTGGGGGTGACTTGCTCTTTAAACAATTTCATTTCTGATCATTCCTGTTTTTGATTAAATTTAGGCAGCTAAGCGAAGACTGTCAGATGCTGCTTTTCTCTGCAACATTCGAGGACTCTGTGTTGCAGTTTGCAAAGAGAGTCGTTCCTGATCCTAACATCATCAAGCTGAAGCGGGAAGAGGAGACCCTGGACACCATCAAGCAGTTCTATGTAGTCTGCAGTGGGAAGGAGGACAAGTTCAACTCTCTCTGTAATCTGTACGGATGCCTGACGATCGCACAGACTGTGATCTTCTGCCACGTGAGTGTCAAGTCTGCAAGCTAAACACTCAGATCTATGACTTTAATTATCAACATGAAAAGATATTAGAGATTTAAAAGTCAGTCTTAGACACTGAATGAGTTAGTGCAGCCTAAAGTAAACTCGAGAGTAAAACTGTCCCCAGTCTTTCACACATTTGATTAATTTTATTCAGTTTGATTAAAGGTCAGTCCAGTTTCAACTTTACGTAATTATCCAGTTCAAAAACACCAGGATAAAGCTTTCTGTTCAGGGAAGCCAGTGCAAGGCATCACACTTTAATTGTCATTAATCGTTAAATGACACATATGCAAAACACTCAAACTGCTTTTTACTGTCAGACTAGAAAAATGGCTTCCTGGCTGGCTGCTAGTCTGACCACTGAGGGTCACCAGGTGGCGCTGCTGAGCGGTGAGATGATGGTGGATCAGAGAGCCGCTGTGATTGAACGTTTCAGGAATGGTAAAGAGAAGGTGCTCGTGTCTACAAACGTGTGTTCCAGAGGTGAGAGTCTAACCCAAATATAACAAATAAACAATACATGGGGGCTGCGGGCGGGCCTGGGGGCTAGTTGTAGTTATCTCCCGGGACGCTGCTGTTTGTGACCCCCCGGGTAAATCCTCTGCGTCTCTCGAGAAGGGGTAGGGGCTTTTCTGGTTGCAGTCTCCCTGGGGTCCCTGTGCTCTGGGACAGCTCCTGGATCTCTGGGAATTGGAGCTCCCTCCATCTCCTGCACATCTTTAGGGGGTGGATCTGTGGCCCCTCACACTCTATTCAAACCAAATCAAAGCTTTATTTATAAAGCGCCTTCCGCAACCCTGTCAGGAAGCCCAAGGCGCTGAGCATGGTACAGTACAAAGTTAAAGAAAGTGAATAAATCAGGAAATAAAAGCAATTCAAATTACAGATTACAAATTACAAAAAAGGTGAAACATTCTAGTAGAAGACAAATGTATAAAACAAGGGAAAAAGTGAACTAATGAAAACTGTGAGATAAAATCAACATAAAAGAGGGACAAATTCAAACATGTTCAGGAAACGCCAAGCGGAGGAGGTGGGTTTTTAGGCGACTTGAAGACTGGCAGAGATGGGGACAGCCTAACTGAGGGTGGCAACTGGTTCCATAGTGACGGTGCTAGGACTGAGAAAGCCCGGTCCCCGCGAGGACGACACCTAGAGCGAGGGACAACGAGCTGGCCTTGGTCAGAGGAGCGCAGAGCGCGTGATGGGAAATGTTTGTTCAGGAGCGTGGACGCTCCTATAGAGAAACCTTACATAAACAAGCGCGTGTACACACACAGGTGCTCACATGGTGCTCTCATAAGTATGGACTTGGGCACGTTCAACACATGTCTTAAGGCTGTGGTTGGCACTAAATGCACTGTGATTTATTATCGCGTGATTGTTCAGTAAAACAATGTTGATGTCATCAGGTTGACGCAGTGATAGCTTGCTCCTGTTGTATTGCTGTGTTGTTTTTCTCTTCCTGCAGGTCTAGAAGCAGACTCTTGTTCATTGTTGTTCATTTTTGTGAAACCCACCCCCCCATCCCTTCCTTTTGTCTCTTCCTTTCTCTTTCACCTCTGACTCCGTGTCTGGTCAGAATTAAAAAGCATTCAAAAACAATAAAGTTTTATCAGGCGTGACATTAAAAGCAGACGCTTTAACGCTCCACCTGAGAGTAAATCTGTAAGGCTTGCCACCAGCATTCAGACATTAATTCTGTTTGCTTCACAGCCAGACAGGACACGGGGAAAAAAAAAACATAAATGTGTTTTTGAAGACGTATCTCCTGTTTCTGCTCGTGTTGCTTGCAGGTATTGATGTGGCGCAGGTGACCCTTGTGGTCAACTTCGACCTCCCAGTGAACATGAAAGGAGACGCTGACAATGAGACGTACCTGCATCGCATCGGCCGCTCAGGGCGCTTTGGCAAGCGGGGATTCGCTGTCAACATGGTGGACAGCGAAGAAGACATGGTCGTCCTAAAGCAGATCGAGGAACACTTTGGTCAGCATTTATAAATGATGATTGTGTTCTGAACGACATCCACAAAGATCCTTAACGTCTTTTTCCTCCACAGGCCGAAAAATCACAAAACTGGACACCAGCGAACTTGAACAAATGGAGATGCTTTTGAAATGAACTTGCTGTTCTGTTTCCTTTTGCATGTGAGTGTTTTGTTTGTTTTTTTATAAAGTTTGTTTTTATTTGAAACAAATATATTCTGTTGTTCAGAGCCCACCTTTGTCAATGTTGGATTTTTATGTGTGCTTCATAAATGTTATGTTTTATAACAGCAAGAATATCTTCCTTCTGAACTTCGTACGTCCAGAAGTGGTTTGTTGCTCCAGTCACTAAACGCTGGTTATGCTAAATAAATGCATCTGTTCCACTGAGCTGTGTGTCTGTCTGCACTAACTGCTTACCTGAATCCAGTTTAAAGCTGCATAAAGGTTTCATGATGAATTCATCCCAATGTCGAGCTCAAATTTGGCACTTGGTTTACTTTCAAACAAAATGAGCTGTTGCTGTGTGGATGGAAGCTTTTTAGCTGGCAGCGAACTGGAGCTCTGCGCTGGATCTCACCGCCTGCAGAGTCAAAGTGCCGCTGAAAGCTCTGATCATGCGGATCGCTCACTGCCAGAAGCAGATGTCCACCTGAGACCGCTGATCATCTACTCATCCTCCAACCTCTGGGTCTCAAGCAGTTGGAGCTGGGGCATGAGTTTGTCCAGCTCCTTCTAGGACTCCCCTCAGAGAGACGACTTTATTTTAGTTATTCTGGTGAAGCTGCAGGAGTGTCACACAGGTGGAGCATCTGCAGAATGTTCTCTGCTCCACCTGCGGCCCAGCTGAAGCTCGGTAACGGAAGGCTTCGTCTGGCTTGGGGCTGCCGTGAACCTCCGACCGCTCTTGGTTGTCTGAGTCAGCCGTCCCTGGCGGCTCTGCACCGTCCTAGAGAAGATTTCCTACCATCTTGGCTTGCTAAAGCATTGCTACCCTGTTGGGGGGACCATCACAATCGTTACTTTAAACATCAGATAAAACTTTAGTTTTAATTATTTACTAGACTTTTTCTACCAATTTACAAACGAGTCAATATTACAAGTTAAACATGATTGTACTGAGGATCAGTATTTTGTTTTCCACCCGTAGAAACAGGAAGTGGATGCTCATGTCGACTCGTGACGATGTTGCCCTAGCAACATGGTACCCGTGCCCCCATGACGACCTGTTTTCGGCACGAGGGCAGCCCCTGGTGTCGGAAGGCTGTAACTGCACCTGTTATGGGATTAAAATTGGGTTTCCTCACATTTAATCCAAATCAATCCCAGGCGTCTTTAGTCGTAATGAAGTATATTATTTAAAGTACTTTGATACATTTAGTCATAGTAAAAATGATAATACTTGGCTAAAACAATAAATAGTAAAAGCCCCGCTCAGAAACTGCCACACCAAATCTTTTTTAATGAATTTTTAATGCATTCCAAGTAACCAGTCAGACAGTCAAGTATTCTGGGATTATTCCAGCTAGTAAATATCAAGTCTGTATATCAAAGTTTGAAAAGCAAGGTGGAAATAAATTATAGCTTTAAAACTTTATTAGCTTCTAAATAATTACTATTGGTGCATTTTAATTGATAGATGAGAGAAACAAACAAGCAGCATATTATAAATCAGGATGCATGGGGCTACAATCTGCTGTTCTTCAATTTAATACAAGTTATGGCATTCATCAGAGAGCAACAGGTCCACTTCCATATTGAATCCCCTCACCAGCAGATCCTAGCAGGGTTTTTCCTCTATGGTAAGTCCAGCAGGTGGTGCTTAGCGTAAAGGTCTTCTGTGATCTGGTACACCTCCAAGATGAGAGGCAGGGCCTCCCCCAGCACAGCTACCACCTGCTCAGGGGGGCCAACATTCATCACTTCAAAGAAAGCAGTACGTCCAGGCAGGACAACAAATGCCAGGCCAGCTGCCTTACGGACCAACCACGGGTGGTGCTGAGCCAGAGACTCGTTGTAGGCCTCTGAGCACATGACAGAGGTCTTGCTGTGCTTGTCGCTGGTACGGAGACGCTCTAGGAAGAGCTCCAGCCACCTGAGCGCTCGGTGGAGCCTCAGTAGGGTGCGGCAGCCCGACTCGGGGTGGATGCCAGTCTTGTTCACGTCCACCAGCTGATTCTCGAGCTCATAGCTCACCATGGACTGCACCGTGACGTACTGAGAGCTGCTCTCCCCACTCAGAAAGTTTGACAGGATCTGGATCTTGCTGACGGCGTCTTTAGAAATGAAGGTGAAGACACTGCCCAAGCTGTTCAGGAACCTGTCGGGGGGGATTTAGAAAATGCACACCGTGAGCTGTTTGTCATGTCGCTACAGCTCGGCGCAGAAGAGTCCAGCTTTAACCGGCTAAACGTAATCAGTCAGACCCACGAGGAATTCTAGGAACTCGCCAGCAGCTCCAACAGAAAACTAGGTTACGACCTGAGGCGTTGCTAGGGTAACCACCTGTAAGAGAACCCAACATCTTCCCAGTGGTGTCTGATTTAGATACGTTTGTCTTTAATTGGTCTTTTTTCCTGCATTTCTATACATTAAAGGGTTTTCCTACAAGATTTGAAATGTGTTTATTCATTCAGACCCGTTTCAGCCCCATCCTACGATGGGATTAAAGCTCTAAACTTTAGAGATCAAGAGAAAACAACAATGAAGGCTTTGTTCACCTCGTTTTAATTTTAAACATATTTAGATTATTCAGAACATTAATCTGATACCATGATACATGATCAAGATCAGAGCTTACAAGTGCTTCTGTGGAAAAGTTACAAAAAATTTCTATTTTACCTGTTTAAGATGGTTCACTGAGCGGCCTCAGTTTGGAGAAACAGACTAATTAGATAGAGAGTCATAGCTGCAGTCACAGCGACTTCGCAAACAGATTCCTGTCAGAATTTCATCCTTCAGTAAGAATAACTGTGTCGAGGTTTAAAACAGTGTACACAGATATCATGTGGCCTGGAGGATATTTCTGAGATTAGTTGTTTTAGAACAGGCGTCTCCAACGTCAGGGCCCTCAGAGTAATTTAGTGCAGCCACCAATGCGGTTCTGGAATAGTGGAATTTTATTTTTCCATGTTTACTAATATGATGCCAATTTAGGAGCTGTATAATTTAAAAAAAAATGCACGCCATAAAATAGCCTATGCAATAAAATAAATAAACACATTTTGTGTAAGTGTAGACTCCGAAATTATTTAAAAATCAGTAAAACTGTAGATAATCACTTACTTGACGAGACCACGCCATCCAGCGACGTAGTGTTCTAGATAGACTTCTTTATCGGGCGACAAACATAATTTAAAAGTGTCCAGCACCTCCCGCATGCAGAATTTCTGATTATCTGAAGACCATGAACCTGCCATGGTTCTGGATGAGGATATGTGAACAAAACCACCAAATTAAAGAAGAACTCGTCTTTAATGGCGAGGAAAAAGCTGGAGCTGGGCGAGGGAACCCGGACAGCAAACGCATCACCTACGGGGAGGTTTCAGAGAGCTAAGAAGACGTTTCATCGGTGCTTTTCATCAGTGGAAATGACAGGTCCTTCCTGTTCTGAGCCACGTTTACTGCGCATGCTCAAACGGAAATACACGGGAGATTGAAAGTCTTACTTTCAAAATAAATCCCACTGGAAATGTAAAACGAGAACAACTGAGCTCAATTTTAAACTCGCGGATGAATCAAAATGGAAACTGGAGCCATTTCATTGTATTTAAAGGGAAGCGAAACGAGAATAAAAGTTTTCACTTTTCAAAGTAGGAAACAATTTATTTACATATTTTATGGGTATTCATGTCTGTTCGTTTAAATAAAAATACACACATTTAACTAAATGTTAGTGTGGAAATAAAATAAAATGTGTTTTGGGCACATTTTGGTTTCCAAACATAAACTGCAATAAATAAGTAAAATGCTGGAACCACAGTTAAACTTCAGCAATTATCTGCATAAAAACATAACTTTGTAAAACATTCTGCTACATGTCCAAAAACCCAAACTAATATGTTTTTCTGTTAATTTAATAAATACAATAAAGAGCACTGTTTTCCACTTAATTTAACTTAAAAGCAATGATGATGATAACCTCATAAACATATTTAATATTCAGCTAGAATTTTTTGAACAGTTAAACGCAAAGTTACAACACATTTTAACGTGAAGAATAATTAGAATAAATAAGTATTAATAAGACTTCGGTAGTGTTTTTATTTATTTTTTGTATGAACTTTTATTTTGAATGTGCTAACCGGAATGTATCCTGTTCCTGTTGAAAGCATGAGATAACCGCTCGTAAAAGTTAGAGCTAATAAACATTTATTTCTCATCGTGAATATTATTTGTTGTTAACAGGTTAGCAGTTTGTGACAGGTCGGTGATCCTGGCAGCAGACTGTTGACTAAAACATGCCTGAGATAAAGGTTACACCATTAGGTGAGTACTAGCTAGTTAGCATGTGCTAAGCTAGTTCTGTGTCGATGTTTGATGTAGGCTTTTGTCGTTGACGCTGTGTTAGCAGGACTAGCATGAAGCTGCGTGTGTCTTCTGTCCCCTCTCCAAGGTGCTGGACAGGATGTCGGCCGCAGCTGCATTCTTGTCTCCATCGGAGGCAAAAACATCATGCTGGACTGTGGGATGCACATGGGATACAACGATGACGTAAGTAAAGAGTATGTTTACTGAGGCGAGCTTCAGCTGCAAGAGGTAAAGGGAAGACTTTGGCTATCAGATGAAGTCAGAAAATACAACAACTGTCAGCATAACTAGATTTTTAACAGGCTGTCCTGGGTGAGCTTCACCTGACTGAAAAAGGAAGTCATAAAATCACCAGGAGCCGTCCTTGTTCCCAGATAGATGGAAATCTCCCATCAGGTTAGGAGAGAGGTCTCGGTGTCTTGTTTAGGGGTGATGGGAGGAGGAAGTCTGTTTTTTATTTATTTTCATTTTGCTTTCTTACGAGTTATCATAAACGTGGTCAGTTAAAATTGTCTTCTGGCTGCCTCACTTGGACGTTTCCTGTCTAATCCCACCGGGAGGAAAGTCTAGGAACAACCCAGAGTTATAAATCCTCTGGGATGGTTTTGGGATCACTCGGGAGAAGCTGGAGAGTTTTGCTTGGGAAGGGGTGTCTGGTTTCCTCTCCTTGAGCCTGACCTTGAATATAGATGGTAAATGGCCTGTATTTGTATAGTGCCTTCTTGGGGTTCTACAACCCCCCAAGGCGCTTCACAACACAATCAGCCATTCACCCATTCACACGCTGGTAGGGATGAGCCACGATGTAGCCGCAGCTGCCCTAGGGTGCACTGGCAGAGGCAAGGCTGCCAAACACATTGTGTTAATATATCAATTTCACAGTTTGTTGACAGAATATAGTGATATAAATGATCAAAGCTCCCTCTACAGCGGCTTCATTTATCAAGCTTGCTTACGCACAAAACGGGTCGGAAAACTGCGTGAGCAACTTTCCACGCAAACTTTGGGATTTATGAAAGAAAACTTAGCGGAAACATGTGCACAACTTTAAGTTGACTAAGGACCTGGCTTACGCACATTTTGGACATGGAGAGCACCTGCAGTGCTGCTGCTGAGAAGGATAACATTATGAAATCCTGCAGCATTATCACTTGTACCGCTTCGTGCGCACACAGATCAGGACCACACACACGCATGTGCGTACACACACAGCCTGAAGCGCAGAATACGGAATACAGAATATCAGCAGGGGGACAGATTGAGACAGAATGTCATGCGTGTGTGACGGTGTGTGTCCTGTCACTGTGACCCGATTGATCATGCACCCTGGCTAGTTGTACAAGGGAGCTCTCCGTTTGGATGACTGGTTAGCGTGCGTGACTTTCGCCCGGGAGTCTGGGGATTGAATCCCAATCTGACCATTTTTTTAATATCCGCCACAGATCTCTCTGAAGAATTCACAACATTGACGGCTTCAGCAACGCTGTGCCACTCCGTGGATTTTCTCTTAGTTGTTTTGCAAAAGTACTTCCTTTCATTTCTCCACCTCACCCACAGGTACCTCAACTTCTGCTTCTGTGAAATTGCGCTTCCTTGATCTGCCTTGATCTACGGTCGCCATGTTATTGGTGGAGCGCTGCAACAGCCGGCTTATATATATGCATGAGATCCACAAGGCACTTTGCATTGACCATTTATGGCAGAAAGTGGGCGTGGTGAGGGCGGGATGTGACTAAAAAGCAGCTGAGAATCGTTCTAGATAGTTTCTGATTCATGAAGCGGAGATTGCGTGCAGCTGTGCGTCCTCCATGTTTGATAGATCACAAACCTACTTGGCATAAGTACATATTTTTTGCTGAGCTTAAGTACGGTTTTAGTGATGATTCTACTCAACGTTTGATAAATGAGACCCCTGATCTGTAAGAGGACATGTTATAGGACCAAAATAAAGCAAAAGACGAGCTCTCCGGCCTTAAATGCAGCCAACTGTACATCTGAAGCTGTAAAAAGTATTTGCTAAAAATGTGTAACCAGAGATGAAACAGCGATGCTGCTGTTGCACATGGGTTGATAGGTGCTCCTGTAGTGAGTTACATACACTAATGGTGCAACTTCACACTTAATCTACAGCTGAAAATTGTGTCCTTGTTCTGAACAGTTAAAGGTGTGTGTGTGTGTGTGTGTGTGTGTGTGTGTGTTCGTGTTCGTGTTCGTGTTCCAGAGACGTTTCCCTGACTTCTCCTATGTGACCCAGAACGGGCGTCTGACAGATTTTTTGGACTGTGTCATCATCAGGTTTGTTTTTTGACTTTCTTCTACTTACCGTATTTTCCGGAGTATAAGTCGCACCAGCCATAAAATGTATTAATGAAGAAGAAAAACACATATATAAGTCGCACTGGACTGTAAGTTGCATTTCGGGGGGAAATTTTATTATTTTTCTTACAAAATCTGAGACCAAGCGTTTCACATTGCAAGACAATACAACAGCAGAATAAACAACCAGCTGTTGCAGCAGCTCGTCACGGTCTCCAGCAGGTGATGGTGGGGCAGAGGAGCTGAAACCTGGTCCGGAGCCGGCCCACAGCAGCGCGGTATAGCCTACATAATTTGGTATATAATTCACGTTGGTGTGTGTGTGTGTGTGTGTGTGTGTGTGTGTGTGTGTGTGTGTGTGTGTGTGTGTGTGTCTCTGCTCTGTCTTCTCGATCCCCAGTGAGTCGTGGAGGATGGCTGCTTATACTAAGCCAGGATTCTCTGGAGGTTTCTTCCTGTTAAAAGGGAGTTTTCCTCTCCACTGTCGCTTTATGCTTGCTTAGTATGAGTCAGTGACCGTAAAGTCACTGACACTTGTCAGTGACTTGATGCAATTCGCTGGGTTCCTTATATAGGAAAAATTATTTCTGATTGGCTTAATGAACTGTCCTGAACTGGAATGTTTATTATGTGAAGTGCCTTGAGACGACTCTTGTCGTGATTTGGCGCTTTATAAATAAACTTGAATTGAATTGAATAAAAGTCGCAGGACCAGCCAGACTATGAAAAAAAAGTGCGACTTATAGTCCGGAAAGTACGGTACCTTTGCAAATCTGTAACTTTCTTAAACAACTGCTATTTTTCCTCTCAGCCACTTTCACTTGGACCACTGTGGTGCTCTGCCCTACATGAGTGAGATGGTGGGCTACGATGGTCCAATCTACATGACTCACCCCACCAAGGCCATTTGTCCCATTTTACTGGAGGATTTCAGGAAGATCACCGTTGATAAGAAGGGAGAAACCAACTTCTTCACATCACAAATGATCAAGGACTGCATGAAGAAAGTGGTCCCTTTGAACCTGCACCAAACAGTCCAGGTGCTGTGTTGACATCTTGTTTTTGACACTCTGGGTCAAACGAGTTTCATCTAAGCTTGTCTCCCTCGCTCTCTCTCTCTCTCTCTCTGCGCCAGCTGCTTCTCTCATTTGATGGCAAATCAAGTTGTTTGTGTGGTGCTCCTGGCAGGTGGATGATGAGCTGGAGATCAAGGCCTACTATGCAGGCCATGTCCTGGGAGCTGCCATGGTGCAAATCAAAGTGGGATCAGAGTCTGTAGTCTACACTGTGAGTGTACAACGTCTGAGCTGAAGTCGGTGAACGGAAGTGCGGTCTCACCAAAATCTTTTTGTTTTTTAGGGGGACTACAATATGACACCAGACAGGCACTTAGGGTAAGCTGCCTCTTTCCAACCTTAGGGATATTAATATAGTCCATAATATTATTACCATGTCTCTGGGTTAAGTATGCTGATCAATGAGTGGGTGGAGAGAGAAGAGAAAATAGTAGTAGTAGTGATGTTTATTTGACATGGACACAGCAATTACATTGGACGAACCAGATGCATTGTTTAGTGTGTTAGCACAAGTGCTAATTTGCAACACTTGTCCATTGAACCTTTCTAAAAAGTAGAGTACATTTAAATAAAATGCAAAGTGATCAACAATTAATCAAACAGAAAACAGATTAAAATTGCAAACAATTTTCAATAAAAAAGAATAAAACAAGGCAATTTGAGCAGCAATGTAAGACTTTAAAACTATTCATGTAGACGTTGTTTAGACTTGAACCATTTTTTGAGTTCTTTGTTAAAAACTTTACTGTCCGTTTCTAGTTTTAGGTCAGTAGGTAGAGAGTTCCAAAGTTTGGCCCCCTTTACAGAAGGGGGTTACAAAATAACGGTAAGCCAGCCAAGTAAGTACAGGGACAGTCGGACCATCAGCAGGATTTCTACAGGTTCCATCTTTTCAAATGTTTTTCACATTTTAATGAATTTTATCTCTCCATAACATGCATCACCTCTACAATTCCTAACCATTCTGAAACTGCCACCTCTATCTTTGGGTAGTTGGAGTTTCTGAAGTCGAATCCTGGGTCTTTTTTTCTCTCCTAGATAAAAGTTGACATAGAACTAAATTGTTTTGTTGGAGTCACGATGGGTGATGTCTGGAGCAGGTGAGAGCAGTTAGGTAACACATTCATCTTAATAGTTCCTGTTTTGTGGTTCATGGTAGGGCTGGGCAATAAATCCAAAATGTGTCGTTATCGAAATTTCCGACTCTTTATCGAGATATTTTTTCCCATGTCAATAAATTTGATAATAAAATAATGAAAAGATGTGTGTAGGTTGGAAACGTTCATGTCCGTTTATGAATGTGTACCACCTGGAGTCACGTAAAAATGTGACTCAACGTAATGCGTGCGACTAGTGGACAACTTTAGATTCTGCACTTACTTTAGTTATCACCTATTTATCGTTATCGAGGTGAAATCCTCAATATATCGTGGTATTGATTTCAGGCCATATCGCCCAGCCCCAGTACATGGTCACCATCCCTTCAACTCTGCTTTAATGGTTTAATTGTGGGTTCGTATCAAAGATGATGGATAAAGGTGTTGGCGTCAGTACATCTAAATATCTTCAATCAATCAATCAAAGCTTTATTTATAAAGCGCCTTCAGCAACCCTGTCAGGAAGCCCAAGGCGCTGAACATGGTACAGTAGAAGTACAAATATAGAGAATAAATAAAAAATAAAAGCAATTCAGAAATAAAAGCAATTCAAATTACAAAATACTAATTACCAAAAAAGGTGAAACATTCTGGTACAGGACAGATGGGTAAAACAAGGGATAGAGTGAACCAATGAAAAATGAAAGAAATTCAACATAAAAGAGGGCCGAATCAAACATGTTCAGGAAATGCCAAGTGGAGAAGGTATGTTTTTAGGTGACTCTTAAAGACTGGCAGAGATGGGGACAGCCTAACTGAGGGTGGCAACTGGTTCCAGAGAGGCGGTGCTAGGACTGAGAAAGCCCGGTCCCCGCGAGTACGACACCTAGAACGAGGGACAGCGAGCAGGCCTTATTCAGAGGAGCGAAGAGCGCGTGATGAGGAATGTTTGTTCAGGAGCGTGGCCAGATAGGGGGGAGCACCACCCTGGAAGAAATTGTAAACAAAGACGAGGATTTTGAATTGTGCACGATAGCAAACCGGAAGCCAGTGCAGGGAGGCCCTGGGGGGTCTTACTGCACATTTGAGTAAGACCCCCCCATCTTACTGAAATGGGTTTACCATAAAACGTACAACTTTAGTCGTGTTTGACTGAGGTTGGTAATCTGTTGGAAGACACTGTGTGTTTGGTTTATAGTCAGGAAAAGAGCTCATTTCTTTCAGTAAAACTAATAATTTGGCTACACCGGTATTAGGTAATTCGGGTATCATCAGCATACAGGCTAACTGTAAATCTGTATTATGGCACCTGCTGCTTCCTTATTAGCCCAACGTGCTTTTTTTCAGCGCCTAAACAAAAAAGGGGCTTATGGGGCTCAGCTGATGACAGCCTCATCCGAGCCATGGATACACCTGGATACACTCCCATTCATTCGGGTCCCTGGTTGTCGGGGAACTACGTAAAGATCGCAGACACTCGTTCGTTGTGTTTTTATAGACATTTAGCTAGAATGGAGGTAAATAATCAGTGTTTAATATCCCAATGGGCCCTTCCATGAGGGTGGTTTTTCACCTCCCTTTAGTACGTGGTTGAAGCGGTCTTTCAGTAATGGTACGGTCCAAAGGTTTTATATCATTCTGGGTTGTTCTGTTCTGAGCCCGGCATTTTTTGACTTTCGCCGGTTTCACTTTCCATCATTGTACATCCTTGTTTTGCGTGGTTCCTTTATAGGTGAAACTAAAAAAATTAGAATATCATACAAAAGTACATTCACGCCAGTAATATCATGTCTCATAGATTAGTTTCACCTTTTCAGTTGAATTAATTACATAAATGAACTCCAGCATCATTTTCCAATTGTTCGAGTTCCTCCTGTAGACGGTATACTATACGGTGATGATAAAAAAGCTTTCCTCTGTAGAACATTCAGCTGCTTAAAGTTGGGCGTAAAGTTTGGTTTTGTAATTTTCAAAGGAAATTTGAATTAGTAAAACTCAGCTTAGTACATCAAACATTTCTGAGGAGAGAGCTGCATTTATTTTTCAAGACCAAGAAGTTGGAAAATGACCCAAAAACTACAGACAAGTGAAGACGTAGACAGACCTAAACCTTAGCACACATAAAGACACTGCCTTTGCAATCTGAGTTGTTGTGTTTTGTAGAGCTGCCTGGATCGATAAGTGCCGTCCAGACATCCTGATATCGGAGTCGACGTATGCCACGACCATCCGTGACTCCAAAAGGTGCAGGGAAAGGGACTTCCTGAAGAAAGTGCATGAATCCATAGAAAGAGGAGGAAAGGTACTTTTACAGACTTAATATTTTACGCGTAAATGTAAAGATACTTTCTGAGTTCTTTGTTTCCTTTGCAAGGTTCTCATTCCGGTTTTTGCTTTGGGACGAGCACAAGAACTCTGCATTCTGCTGGAAACATTTTGGTATTTTTTAACACAAGCTTCATCATAACTTGTATTTTATTCTCTGCATTTGCCGTGAAACTGTTGAGATGTTACATTTGTCGGGGCTAGGAAGTAAAGTGCATGCAGCGATGTGAGGAGATAAGTCCAGGTAAGGCAGGGAAGCTTTATTTGTGTAGCACATTTCATTCACAGACGCAAGTCTAAATGACGTTAGATAAAAAGCTAATTTTCTGCCTCGTGGTTTCCGGGGATCGAATTAGATCAATTAAAACCTTTCAGTGTAAAGTCAATGCACGTAATTATAACACAGAAGGTCACATTTTTATTTCAGTAACAGTCGTAATTATTAAATTAGGCTTGAAATAATAGCTTGTTGATGGGCTAATTGGGTCCTCTCGCCGCGCAGGGAGAGAATGAACCTAAAGGCCCCCATCTACTTTTCCACCGGGCTCACGGAGAAAGCCAATCATTACTACAAGCTCTTCATAACGTGGACAAACCAGAAGATTCGGAAAACCTTTGTGCAGAGAAACATGTTTGAGTTCAAGCACATCAAGGCCTTCGATCGCTCTTATGCTGATAATCCAGGGCCAATGGTGAGTTTGCTATTTCCTTCTAACCTTTGTTTGTTTTAGAATTTAAAACAGTCCCTGATGTGTGTACCGTCTGTTTCCAGGTGGTGTTTGCCACTCCGGGTATGTTGCACGCTGGTCAATCTCTGCAGATATTTAAGAAATGGGCTGGGAATGAGAAGAACATGGTGAGACTCTCGTGGTTCCAAACATCTTTTGGTGTTTTTAATCAACACTTTAGAATAAAATAGTCTTTTTCTGTAGGTAATCATGCCTGGGTATTGTGTACAAGGAACTATTGGTCATAAGATCCTGAATGGACAAAGGAAACTGGAGATGGAAGGAAGAGCAACAGTAAGATTTCTGTTTTGAACTCAGTTGTGTTAGACCAGGATCTAATCACTAGGGTTGAGCCGGATACTCGTCTCAGTGTCCGGTACGGATAAAGCTTTTTTCACGGGTACCAGTAAAACCCGTGAATATCTGTGTCCATGCTGAAGTAAAATCCTCATTGGGTAACTGACTGTCTTCACGCTCTGTGATTGGCCAGTCACACTGAGCGCCTGCCCCTCTTTGCAAACAAAACCATCAGATGGCCCGCAGCTGCTGTCACACACACACACACACACACACACACACACACACACAGCGCTCCGTCGCGCATGATTGGAGTGGATGGTTTTATACGAGCCACAGATCTAAGTTGTGTGTTTATCAATGACATTTTCGTACAATATAGTCTCACTAATAAGCGCCAATGGAGCCAAGCTCCGGTGTGAGTTAACGTGATGATCCTGTCTAACGGGGACGGCGGGGAACCAGGACTCGACTGAGGAAATTCCCAGTCCGGTCGATGTTTTTTTCTAAACCCACAGGTGATAGAAAATAAGATGAAATAAGCCTGAATATTTTCTCCCGCTGCTCAGCTCTGTTAGAAATACGCAGGTGTCTGCTTAAGCTGGACAATATCAAGTATAACAAGGTGTTCACAGATAATTGATCTTTCATGAAAAATAATATTAATCCTTTTTTATTTTCTTATTGATTTTATTTCATTTCTAAGGTTTGGATGCCTCTGAACATTACAGAATTTTTTTTCCTCTCTAACACTGTAGAGGTCTTTAAAAATCATCTAAAAACTCACCTTTTCATCCAGGCGTTCCCTCCCTAAATGTTCTTAAAGACGGCTTTGTTCGGGTTCACACCTTCACTTTGTTTATACTCATGATTTTATTTTCTACGTTTATCACTGCTATTGTTTTTCTGATGTTTTTATTGGTTAGAGGTATTTGCCCTGATCTTTATCATGTTGTACAGCGCTTTGTGATTTATATACCAATTACCAATTTTATTTATATAGCACATTTAAACACGGCATGAGAGCCGACCAAAGTGCTGAACAAAACACACAATAAAAACAATCAAAAATAAAAACTAAATCCATTAAAATCAAGTAATCCAACCCTAAAAGGAAAGGTAGAAAGGGAATAAGTTAGACAGAATTAAAAGCCAGAGAATAAAAGTGAGTTTTTAAACGAGACTTAAAAAGGGAAAGAGAGGAAGAGAGTCTGATCGGGAGGGGCAAGTGGTTCCAGAGCTTCGGTGCACAAACTGAAAAGGCGCGCTCCCCGCGGGACTTACAGCGAGAGCTAGGGACATGTAGGAGGTGTTGGTCAGCTGATCGGAGGGATCTTGTAGGGACATATGGGTGAATGAGCTCAGACAAGTAGCCAGGTGCTAAGTTATTTAGGGATTTAAACACAAAAACCAGGATCTTAAACTCTATCCGGAGATGGATGGGGAGCCAATGAAGATTTGCTAAAACCGGTGTGATATATCTGTGAAAGGCGCTATATAAATAAACTTTTACTTACTTACTTACTTACTTACTAATATTAATAACAGGTCATGACCTAAAGTGGGTCGGTCTGAGGTGTAAAACTGTCCTGGACCTAAAAGCCTTGCAGAAGCATTTTGTTTCTATATAAACACCAACAACAAATAAATAACAGCAGCTGAATGTGTCTGCATACCGCCCCGAAAGTAGGCAGTTGGGCCCCTGACACACACACACACACACACACGTACACACACCTTGTTTTGTTTAACTTTGTGTGGGGAAAAATGCCAAGAACGTTAGAAAAAAAATTTTAATCTAAAAATAATTTAAATACAAAAGTTTTGTTTTATTCTAGTAGTTCATATTTCCGACTGCATGTGTACAGTTGTATTCATTCATGTACTTTAATGTTCAATTCTAGTTTATTTATAAAGCGCCAAATCACGACTATATTCACGGTCCGAGTTTATTGAAATACGTGTTCTGTAATAGTTGCTTTACTATATACATTCAAAGCCATCCATAACCTAGCTCCACTGTACCTCTCAGACCTCCTTCATCCTTCAACCTCCACCCGTTCCCTCAGGTCCTCCTCCTCCATCCACCTCTCTGTCCCACCTTTCTGTCTGGTCACTATGGGGAGCAGGGCCTTCAGTCGCTCTGCTCCCCAGCTCTGGAACTCACTCCCTCCTGACCTCCGTAACATTGACTCCCTCACTCTCTTTGAAACCAGACTCAAAACCCACCTGTTCCGTCTAGCATTCCAATGGTTAATCTCTTTGCTCCAATCTGTCTGTTTGTTTTATGCTGTTTTATCTTTTATTGTTGTGTATTTTATCTCTGTAAAGTGTCCTTGAGTGTTCAGAAAGGCGCTGTTGAAATTAAATGTATTATTATTACTATTGTGATCCAAAACATCGAATCTCAGTTCTGAGGCAGCTCTGTAAATAGTTTTCAAACAAGCAAAACATAAAAGCTAATTCTGATCAATACATATCAATTTCAGACTTAAAATAACGTATTGATTTAAGCTCCACACACTTCTGGTTAAGACACGCCCACTTCCTGTTTAAGTCCCACCCACTCCGACTACAGATACAGATAATTATTAGTTGAACAGATACAGATAGTGGGTGTACTCGCTCATTCTAGTAATCAGGTTGTTTCTCTGGGTTGTTTGTTTGGATTTGTTAGTGAGGTTGTTGACTTTTGTGTTTACAGAGATTCTGTAGGCTCACTTTTCCACTCATCTTCAGGACATTGTAAAGAGGAAATCAAGCAGATGTTGGTTTTATAACAAAAACACTGAAACTTACTTTGGTGTAAATTCATCTGTGCGGCATGTTCAAATGAGCCTATAAACTATGTAGAAAAAGCAATAACTCTGCGTGTGTGTGTGTGTGTGTGTGTGTGTGTGTGTGTGTGTGTGTGTGTGTGTGTGTGTGTGTGTGTGTGTGTGTGTGTGTGCCAGTCTTTTAAATAGTTGAATCTTTTTAAAGTTAGAAGTGTTCTATGGCTGATACAGAACGTGACGTTCTTTGAGCAAAATCAGTCTCGTCTGGTTTCATCAGTTTTATTCTTGACATTTTGAAGAGGGAGCTGAGCCAGAAAGCCAGGCTCTCGATTTACCGGTCGATCTACGTCCCAATCCTCACCTATGGTCATGAGCTTTGGGTAATGACCGAAAGAACGAGATCGCGGATACAAGCGGCCCAAATGAGTTTCCTCCGTAGGGTGGCCGGGCTCAGCCTTAGAGATAGGGTGAGGAGCTCGGACATTCGGGAGGGACTCGGAGTAGAACCGCTGCTCCTCCGGATCGAAAGGAGTCAGTTGAGGTGGTTTGGGCATCTGGTCAGGATGCCTCCTGGACGCCTCCCTGGGGAGGTGTTTCGGGCATGTCCTGCCGGCAGGAGGCCTCCGGGTCGACCCAGGACACGTTGGAGAGGTTACATCTCCACTCTGGTCCGGGAACGCCTTGGGGTCCTGCCGGAGGAGCTGGTGGAGGTGGCCGGGGAGAGGACAGTCTGGAGCTCCCTAGTTGGGATGCTGCCCCCGCGACCCGGACCCGGATAAGCGGAGGAAGACGATGATGACGACGACATTTTCAGCACCTTCCAGAATGAGCCATCTCGGGGTTCTGTCACTCTAGAGGTCTTATTCACTTGTTTTTTTTTTCCAATATATTTTTTGTGGGCTCTTGTAGTGCTTGACAATATGGACCAAAAGTTATATCTCCTTATTTTCAGTCCTTCTTTCCACACAAACAGCAACAACAAACGGTTGGTCGTGGAAAAGGCTTGCTGAAATATGAGTGGCCCACCAAAAACTAAAAACCACAAAGCAAAGTTTAGGACTGAGCAGATTTTTATGAATCTAGAGATCATCCGTTTGTCAGCACACGTAAGAATACGAGAGGACCACTTACCGTCACAGATGAAGAAGCAGCAAGCTAGCGGGTGCCAGACGCTTCTGCTAACTCCACAAATTCCCAGGTTTTATATTTATATTGGCATAAATTTGACTGGGTCATCTTGTGTTGTGTGTGAGATATTTCTAATCTTAAAAAAATTTAATGAGCGCAGCTTCGATCGCAATTAAAACCAAGTTGTGTCCAAGATAAACAAAAGTCTGCGGCAGCGCAGAGACCGCCCCATACCTAGGGCTGCTCAATTAATCGAATTTTAATCACGATTACGATCTGAGTTTTGAACGATTATAAAAAACAAAACAAGCCGATTATTTGCTCCTCCTGCTTGCGCTGCCCTGAGTAGCAAATGAAGCGCTCCTTACAGTGTTGCCAACTTAGCGACTTTGACGCCATTTCTAGCAGCTTCTCAGACCCCCTTCTTGACTTTTTAAATCTTAAAAGTACCTAGCGAACACCTCAGAAACATCTCTGGTAACCCTTAGCTACTTTCTGGATAACTGTCGTCAACATTTCCTGCAGGTTAGCTAAACACTACGCCTGCGCTCCGGACCGTTCTTCAGGACATTAGGAAAGGGAATGATGCAGTGATGTGTCGGTCGCTAAAGAAACGGCTCTCTGAGCCGGCTCCCTGTTGGAGTAACCAGAGTGAGTGACACACACACACCGCACCTGCGGACTCCTGAGCCGCTAAAAACGGCTAAATGTGCGCGTGCGGTGTGCTAAACACACGTGCAGCTTGCCCCGTTTGCTGTGAGAGCAGGTGGGGGGTGGGGGGTGCAGCTGTGGTTGGGACAATTATTACATTAACTGATGGACTTGTAAATAAATAGTTTATAAATAAGGTAGAAATAACTTCCTCATGCTGATGAATAATAACTAATCTCTCTGAGGACACGGTGCTAGTGCACTCTCATACAGCACCTTGACACGACTAAATAAATGTTATGCAACATTTTGTGAACATCAATTTATTTGCATTTATTTGTTATAAATGTCACTGCATAATTCTTGCTGTCAGTATTTGCAAGATGTTGGTATTTGGGTCTGTGCTGGTTAGACTTAAATGAGTTAAACCAAGGTCTACAGCCCTTGGGTCATAGACTATGAGCTAAAAGTATATCGGTCTTTTTATACTGGGAATCAGGAGTTATTTTAGTGATCATCTTGTTTCTTATTTATTTTTGTCCTGATTGTGCCCTGAGCAATTTTATGACTGAATAAAAACAAATAAAATCAACATAAATAGAAAAATCGTCCTAAATAATCGTGATCTCAATTTCAGTCACCATAATCGTGATTATTATTTTTGCCATAATCGAGCAGCCCTACCCATACCTCCTTTATGCCATCGTCGCCTTTTGCAAAAATGACACGATTGCGCCACATCACCGCCACGGTTTGACCACTTATAAATGACCAAAGGCTTCTGATTGGGTAACAGCAACCTGACTCTTCTGCTGCCTTCATTCACGCTTCTTTCTTGGGTAAAAAACAAAACACTGATGTTTTATCTCAACTAACAAAATGCTTGAATTTGTTCTGCCATGCTTTGGAGGTGCTATTGCTAATGGTTAGCTTCTTCCATCCAAGGCTTGCTCTTCTTTCTTGACGCACAATCGTCACAGCCTTCCATAGTCACAAGCCAAGGTGGGCGGGGCCATGAACACTCATTTTCCTAGTGACTTGGAAGAGACTGGCTTTGCCTGACTTGCTTTATTTCCTTTCTGCAGCCAATTTTTCACGTTCAGCATGCATGTGCAACTCGGTCATTGATCATATTTCAAAAAGAACAAATACAGCATTATGTTCTAAAAATAACCTGCAATAAGCAAAATCTGCGATGTGGTCAGTTACATTTTTGTAGCTGTAATGGAATAGAGTGACGAAACTATCTAGAGTTGTATTTTAATACACTGTAAGTAGATCACTTTTTATAAACAGAAGAATAGGCTGTTTTTATCATCAGGGAGTTTAATTAAACACTCTGTATTGACTTTGAGACAAGGAAAGAGAGAGAGATGGGATCGTTTGAGAATCTTTAATTTCTTGATTATAAATTCTAAACAATCTACCAGGACTAACTCTGTGATGGATGAAAATGGATTTGGATGTTGTGTTGGTGTGTGTGTGTGTGTGTGTGTGGTTGGTTCAGACTCCTTAGGCTGACGTCATTGAATCTGGTAGTCTTTGTTATGACTAGATATCACGAGGCTTATAAAGTGATGACATGAGCCGCTATTTTGCCGTGTACGTACCCAGTGGGGGCCTCCCAGGTAGATCAGGAAATGCCAGGTCTGGAGACCTCGGATGTGCGCTGGAGCTGTCGGCGCAGCGGTCGCAGCGTTTCAAAGCCCGTCTGGAGGGTCGACCCCGGTACCAATCGATGGCGTCAGCAGGTGCTCTTATTTTGAAAGGATGTCGTCTGGTTGTTAAACGACGAAAATCTCCAGCTTCACAGTTCTTAGTTTAAAGAAGAAAACACATCTGGCCAGTCTGTGCTTTCCTTTAGGATGACGGTGAATAGAACTGAAGTCAAAATGGAACTGCCTTAAAAATGGCGTTGCCTTGTTTTATATCTCTGAATTGTTGAAAGTTTTAGTAAAGCGGATTGGATACTTTAAGTCAACAAGCCAGATTCTCCTGCGGCAGCCGAAAGCTCTGATTGGTTGGAACAATGTGTCATGCGTTTCTATGGAGATGAGGATCAGTCTGTCTGTGCAATAGTCCTGTTTTCATTAAACATAAATCATGACATATTTATTTCACAGATCATTCACTTGATTGTTATTGATCAACATCTGTTTCGATTAGCTTTAATCACAAATTAAGTACTTTGATTATTGAAAAGCGTTCTTCTTCTCCTTCGGACTCTTCTCCTGGAATGTAAACAGTCTGAGGAACACCCGACCTTGGCGTTTTCAACACGGGTGTAACTGTGCACAGGGGGCAGCTGTGTGGAGCTGAAAATAATGAACTTCATAACCTTACATAGCATACATGGTTATATTGGGGTCACATACACGAAAACGCAGCAAATGTCCGTTCCCAGCACGTGTGCAAGGGTGAACTGTTTTATTTGCACACACTCGCTTCATCGTTTCTGTTTCATGTCGTTACGTCGTAGAGACTCATGTGTCTCCTCCCCTTGTATATAAAAACACAGCAGCCCTGAATACCAATGCGCTCCAGCCGGGGCGCAGTGCTCCTCTCTTCTGCAGACGTGCTCGTCCCAGAGCGCCGCATCAAGATTTTAAGGCTGTAAAACCCCCTCACTACACACTTTATACCCTTTTCTCAGACAGGCTTTCAACATTTTCACACTTTTCTCTCTTGTTTAAATGTGTAAAAACCCTCTGAATGTGAATGTTCTGTGTTAACAGCTGGACGTGAAGCTGCAGGTAGAGTACATGTCCTTCAGTGCACACGCAGACGCCAAGGGCATCATGCAGCTCATCCGCATGGCGGAGCCTCGGAACATGCTGCTCGTGCACGGGGAGGCCGCCAAGATGGAGTTTCTTAAGGGCAAGATTGAGCAGGAGTTCAGTGAGTGTAGTCCTGACCTTCAGCGACCTGGGATTTTTGGTTTTTATGTATATCAACAGAGAGGAGTTTCCAGCCTGGTTAATACGTCTGATTTTAGGCATAGACTGTTACATGCCGGCCAATGGAGAGACAGCGATGGTGACGACCAACCCCAGCGTTCCTGTGGACATGTCGCTCAACCTACTGAAGAGGGAGATGGCTCTCGGAGGTACGTTGCCTGCCTTGTGGTCGGCAGTGGTTTTAGTTTAGCCTGCTAACAAAGTTTCTCTTCACATTTCTTCTAGTCTGACCTGACATTTGAATTTCCTTCGCTTTGATTGAAGTAGTTTTTTTTTAAAACCTAACACCTCCGTACAGTACGGCGGCCCAGATTAGTTGTCACGATAAGATCAACCGACTAAAATCCAGACTGTTGCATGTGGCCCTTCTGATGTGCTTCAGGCATGCAAGAGCTGCTGTAGTATTATTTTATTAGGCAAAGCAAGGCAGCTTTGCTTATAAAGCACACACACACACACATATATATATATATATATATCGTGGGGCGACGGTGGCACAGGAGTTAAGTGCTCGCCCCGTAATCGGAGGGTTGCAGGTTCAAGTCCCGCTCAGTCTGTTGCTGTCGTTGTGTCCTTGGGCAAGACACTTAACCCACGTTGCCTGCTGGTGGTGGTCGGAGGGACCGGTGGCGCCAGTGCTCGGCAGCCTCTCCTCTTGTCAGTGCGCCCCAGGGCAGCTGTGGCTACATCGTAGCTCATCCCCACCAGCGTGTGAATGTGTGTGTGAATGGGTGAATGACTGATTGTGTTGTAAAGCGCCTTGGGGGGTTCCAGGACTCTAGAAGGCGCTATATCAAATACAGGCCATTTACCATTTATATATATATATATATATATATATATATATATATATATATATATATATATATATATATATACGAACCCTGAGGAGGAGTTGTTGGTTTTTTGGTCTCGCTCTCCCTGTGTTCGGCGTGGTTGCGGCCAACAGCAACTCTTTTGGAGTCATTAAAAAGACTAAAGCATAAGTGAGCGCCTCCGACTGTTATTGTGTCCGTGGGGACGCTACAATATTTATATATAATTTTGTTTTTAATTTATTTATTTACAAAAGTGTTTATTTATTTAATTATTTATTTATTTATATGCATATAAGTTTTAACGATCATTATTTCACAGTAAAACAACAACAACCGCGCAGATCTTGGGTCAGTCATTCATGCTTTCATTACTTCACGTCTGGATTACGCGAATTCTGTTCTGATTGGGATTAATGCCTCAGCCCTAAGCAGACTGCAGAAGGTTCAAAATGCAGCGGCGAGATTTTTAACCAACACCGACAGACGCATGCACATCACACCCGTCCTTGCAGATTTACACTGGCTCCCAGTCAAATTTAGGATTAACTTCAAGGTCTTGTTATATGTTTACAAGGCTCTACTGCCCATCCCCATCCTTTCTGACGGACCTGCTGACCCCGTATGTTCCCACCCGTGCCCTTCGATCAGCAGATCATCTGCTGCTTGTTGTTCCAAAGGTTCGGTACAAATCACGGGGGGAGCGTGCCTTCTCTTACGCAGCCCCAAAACTCTGGAACTCTCTGCCCCTCCGTGTGCGTCTGGCTCCCTCTGTCAGCAGATTCAAGTCGGCCCTGAAAACGCACTTTTTCACTATTGCCTTGTAGTGAAATATAGATCATATATTTACACTGTAATTAGATCTAGATATTATAATCAGAAGCGGTTGTTTTTATCATCAGGGAGTTTACTTAAACACTTTGTATTGACTGAGAGACAAGAAAAGAGAGAGTTGGGATCGTTTAAGAATCTTTAATTTCTATAACTATAAATTCTTACAATCTACCAGGGCTATCTCAATGATGAATGCATATGGATTTGGATGTTTCGTGTTGGTGTGTGTGTTGTTCAGAATCTCTAGGCTGACGTAGCAAATCTGGTTGTTATGACTACAAATCACGAGGCTTCAGAAGCTGATGACATGAGCAGCCATTTTGCCGTGACCACATACCCTGTGGAGCCTCCCGTGTTAGATCAGGAAATGCCAGGTCCTCGGACCTTCAGATGTACTGGAGCTGGTGGAACAGCGGTCGCAGCACGACAAAGCCCGTCTGCGGATCGACTCCCGGTAGCAGCGGCAGGCGTCAGCGAGTTAGCTCTTATTTTGAAGGAACGTCGTCTTGTTCAAACGACGGAAATCTCCAGCTTGACAGTTCTCAGCTTAAAGTAGGAAAGTGCAACTGGCCAGCCTGCACTTTTCTTAGACGATGGAACTCCTTAGGAACTCAGATTGAACAGAGCTGAGGTTAAAATGGAACTGAGTACAAAATGGCGTTGCCTTGTTTTATATCCCCTAGTTGTTTATAAATCTTAGTAAACCGGATTGGACAACTTCATTAAACAACCCAGATTCTGCCCTACGACAGACGAAAGTTCTGATTGGCTGAGAACAATGTGTCATGCGTTTCCATGTTAATGTAGATCAGTCAGTCTGGTGCAGTCCTGTTTATTCATTAAACACATAACTCATGACATCTTTATTTCACAGATCATTCACCTGATTATTATTGATCAACATATGTTTCGATTAGCTTTATCACAAATAAAGTACTTTGATTAATTAAAAGCGTTCTTCTTCTCCTTCTGGCTCTTCTCCTGGAATGTAAACAATCAGAAACCAGCACCCGACCTTGGCGATTCCTACACGTTGTTGCTGTGTAAAGGGGCAGCTGTTAAGGGCAGAAAATTATAATATTCATAACGCTACAGCCTTCTCTCCGTGACACTTTTCATGAAAATCCAGCACTGGGTTTATTTTTCTTAATTTAGTTTTTATGATCCAGTAGCTCACTTTTAGCAACTCGCACCATCTGGTAGCTTTTTTGGTTGTATTTGTGCCATTTCAAATGTTTTTATCATTCGTCGCATTATTTTTATTTTTGGTAGTGCTGTTAACTGTTCTCCTATTCTATTGTTTTTAGTAGAAATTTTTATCCTTGATTATTTATGCTATGTTTTTATGTACAGTATTTTACCTGATTTTCATGCTTTCATTGTGTTTTGCTAATATGTTCGAGTATTTGGCTCTTTTATATACTCTTTGGTTAGCTGCCATGCTATTTTTAAATGGTGCTTTATAAATAAGTTGGTATGGTAACGAATACCCACATTTGAAATTTTAACACTTAAAGGATTTTCTAACGTGCACCCATCATGACATGTGAGATATAAATTTACAGCTTTTTAAAATAGAAGATAAAATTGTTATGTTTACTTTTTAGGCCCTCTGCCGGATCCTAAAAAACCTCGCACCATGCATGGGACCCTCATCATGAAAGAAAACGTAAGTTTACAGCTTGGTTAGTTGTTTCTTTTACCAAATAATCAGAACCTGTTGGCTAACACGAAACCAGAGATTTCTGTGTTTATTATTAAAGTCATCACATATAAATCAGTGATGTAAGCTTAAAGAAGGTGTGCCTGCATGATTGAAAGAATGAAATCATTCGTGTCAATAAAGAAAATGTGGTCTACGCCTGTTTCTGAGAGGCTGTTGCTAGCAGGAAGTTTTGGAAAATGTTTAAAAAGATCTAAATGGATTCTTAATTTATATTTGCAGCGACATTTTGATCAAAACCATCTAAAGTTGCCACGGGCGACTGGAACTTTTCTCCATTTAGCTTCTTGAATCTAAAGTTCATCAAGCCGATTGTGTTGAGACTGATCGAAGACTAAAGAGACTCTTGGACAAAATTTAGCAAGACCGCAAACAAATGTAAGCTATAATGAAGACACTTTGAAAAGCACATTTGCACAGCTCTTAACACAATGAGATCACGAGTGTGATTCCTAAAGAAACGTTCACACACAGTTTTGTTGATGTTGTTAACAGCGGCGGCAGACCACCGAGATGGATGTTTTTATTTGTTTCTGCCTTTTAGGGTCAGTTGCAGTCGGCGTCATAAAGTCTGATGGGAGTTTTTTTTATTTTCAAGGAACAACTGAAGAGATGAAACTTTTCAGTAACTTTTCAAACACTCCAGTCATACTTTCAGACCTGTAAAAACAGAGATGGAGAGTTGCCCCAAAATTCCACTACCTCCGCTCCGCTCCGGCACGAACTCCGCAGCAAAATCGGTCCCGTTGTAGTCATTCAGAGCTGTTCCACTACTGTGGCAGTGCGGCGCAGTGCGCCGCCCTCTGTTCCGGCGTCCAGCAAAAATAGAATCGATCCTATTTTTGCCAGACGCCGGAGCACCTCCGCAGTCAATGAACAGAAATCACAACCGCCCAACAGGAAAGGGATCAAGCACAGCTTCCGTTTTTTTCACAATAAATCGATAAACAAAAAGCGTTTTTGTTTCACATGCACAGGTTTAACAACTATCAATGGCGGCTGAACTTTGATTGCACAAAAATAAGCCATAAATACAGTTTCCACTGTCAAAGTAGTCACACTTTGTTGATCCAAACACTGCTGATCTCTCAACACAAATGATGGGCAGATTAAACAGTTCATTTCGATGCTTCTCCCACACAACGGGTGTTTGGATCTAACTTCCGTGTTTATTGCTCGGACTGTATCGCAAGATCTCGAAAATCCCGCGCATGCCTGTTTGCCCACCTCAGGTCTCCGCACCGGAGCGGAGCCGTTGTAGAGCGGGTCCCAGTAAAAATTGAGTTCGGAAGCGAGCGGCTGCGGAAGGCGGGGGCGGGGCGGAGCGGAGCGGAGGTAGTGGAATTTTGGGGTTAGAGGAAGGATTGTGGCAAAACAAAAAAGCCGTCAGTCAGAAATCACTCTGACCGGTGACCTTAGGTCAGGGGTCGGCAACCCGCAGCTCTTTCATCCATCTGATGCGGCTCCCGTAAAATAATGAATGAATATTTAATTTAAATGTATTGTATTTTACAGCATTACTTTTTTATCTGTATGTCAATTCTCAATGTAAAGTGTCATCTTTTAAAATCTAAACAAGAACGATAAAGACCTGAAATGACAGGTCATCTACTTTTGAGCAGTCAGATATCTCTATAGGCGCTTTCTGAGTTCAGGACGATATGAGATTCTGGACTTGCCTCAGACAGGCTCATGGGTGCGTCGCCACATCGGAGACAGGAACAAGCGCTATTCAGCCAAAGGTTCATAACCAGGGAACATTTTCTAAGCGAGAGACAGGGTTTGGAAAACACTCGCTTCAGTGAGAGGAATCTCCCCGCATGGCTCTGGTTCTTCTGCTGCCTGTGACCGACACTCCACATTTTCAGCTGATCCCCCTTTCGGGCATGCCGACAGCGAGCTACGTGGAGCTCAGTGTATGAGGCTCAGATGTTCTGATGGGAATCTTTTCTTGATTGATTTAGCTACCTCCGCGATGTGCGTAACGATTAAAATGTCAGAGCATCTGATACATCAGAGTAGTTCTTTCAAAACAACCAACAGCCTTGAGGTTTCTCCATCAAAATAAACATTGTTTAATGGAAAGTTTTGTTCAGTACAAAGTCTAATTACAACAGTCCAACGAGACAGAGCCTGGATTTGTTTTCTGAACAGTTTAAACATGTTTTAAAAGTGTGTGAGGAGTAGGGATGGGTACCTTTGACATTTGAATCGATTCGGTACTAATTCCCGGTACCTAGGAATCGATACCGGTACTTAACGGTACCAGTTTTCAATACTTTTGAGTGTTTATTATTTTAATTCTCTTTTATAATTAAATATATATTTTTCTCAATATATAACAATATTTGATAAATATCACGATAAATAACATACAACTGTGTGTACTTTAACATCGTTCTTGTAGTTTTATAAGCTGATAATTAAACTGAAGCAAACATCTTTACTGTGAACTAAATTTACTGTGTATCTTCATTCCTTTTGCCGTCCTTTTTCATTTGATTTTTCCTACTAGGAAGTTAGAATTTCCGAGGAGAAAGCGAACGCACCATTAGCTGATAACAATGGTAGCAATGGAAGCTAACATATCAAGCTAACGTTATCTTTAACAGTTTATTTAGCTGCTGGAGCAGATTAAAACGATGATGCCTCACACTTAGATTGTTGTCGCTGGTTTCATCTTCACCCAATCACCTGTCGCATTTAGTAAAGTGAAGCCAAACTTTAGAGCGCGTTCATGATCTTCTAGTCGGAAATTCGGAGTTCCGAGGAGAAAACTAACGCACCATTAGCGAAACGGAAGCTAACATATCAAGCTAACGTTATCTTAAACATTTTATTTACCTACCGGAGCAGATTAAGATGAGGATGTCTCACTTAGATCGTTGTCGCTGGTTTCATCATCACCCAGTTACCCATCACGTTTAGTGAAGTGGACCCAAGCGTTAGCGTGCGTTCTTTCTGCCATGCTGCTCTGTTTACAACTGGCTCGCAGCGAGCGACGACATAACGCTCTTGCGCACGCGCAGCTGTCTTGGCAAGTTCTCATTATGAAGGGTACCGAAACGAAGCACCATTTGAAATGACGTGAATCGGTGCTCGGTCGGTACTATGGAATTCGGTCGGTACCTTAAAAAGTACCGAATTCGGTACCCATCCCTAGAGGAGGCACCTGCTCAGAGCCAGCAGGTCCACCTACAAAAACACCATGCTGATGTGGCTCCCAGCGTTTGGGAAATGGGTAATAGTGACTCTTTGATTGGAAAAGGTTGCCAGCTCCTGCCTTAGAGGATTAACACTGAAAGACTACTTAAATAGGACAAAGAATGTGGTTTATCAGCAATCTAAAACAGTGCTTTGAATCTCTTGAAGCATAAGAATTTTTTTTTTTTGGCTTTCATCTGTCCCTGGAGCCCTGATACAGGCCATTCTAAACCAGCCTTGCTGTGAAAAGAGCTGTTTACCCCTCCCACTTAGCCAGGACATGAATATGCTAATGAGCTGCTTGCTGATTGGGTGGTTTAAACCAGAAGGCCTCAGACACTGGAGGCTGCAGACTGGAGGAAGAAGGGCTCCACATTTTTATGAGGTTTCTCAGAAAATAAGTTTTTCTCTTGCATTTTTAAACTTTCTAATTTACATGAAAAGTAGGTCACACACGGCTTAGACTTTTTGGCGTGCTTATTTTGACCGCCTAAGCTGTCTTTATTCACAAACAACAAGAAAATGTTAGTTTATATTCTTTGTCCCCTTTAAAATGTTTCTAGAATTCAAAAACACGTTGAGCTTGTTGTTAAATAAAGGCAGCTTGGGTGTTTTCCAACCCTGGTGCTCAGGGCACACTGACCTACATGTTTTCCATGTCTCTGCTTCAGCACACCTGATTTACATTGCTTCCAGGAGGACGTCAAGCTCTACAGATGCCTGTTAATCACTCATTTGTTTAAGTCAGGTGTGTGGCAGCAGGGTAAGACTGGTGTTTTAAAGGGCAACATGGAAAACATGCAGGACAGTGGGCCCTGAGGATCAGGGTTGGGAAACACTGAGCCATCTCTGCAAGCTAGTAATGTTGTGACGGCTGATGAGAAATGGTTCGTTCTGAGAAAAATAATGTTTTTCTGAACTAGCGCTAATGCTAGTCCGAGCTATGCGATTGTTGGATGAGAGGAAAACTCCAAAGAAGGCTGGAGTGCACTTGTTCCAGGATGTACTGGGACTTTGAATGAATGCCAGACAGACTACGGCATCACACACACTTACACAGCTGTGGTCTGACAGCTGCACGCACCTCCTGGTCTGCTTCACACACGCTGTCATTGAGCCATCTGGGTAAACCGGCCAATCAAGAAACAGCTAATTTAATATTCTTATCCTGGCTGAGTGGGTGGAGCAAACCAGTTGTTCCATTGCAGTATCAGGGCTCCTGGGCCATTTAGAGCCTCAACAAAATGTAATCTGTTGTAAAAAAGCTCGAACACAGGTTCCAATCCTTAAATAAATAAATAGATTTGTTCAAGGTCTTCTTTACAACTGTCAACCAACACACAGCCAGACGATAGTCTAATACCAACAAAACTTTACCTGAAGTGATGAGCCAGCCAGAGTGAGAGACCACTCAGACCAGCCAACAGAGGATCTGATGTCCTCTCCTGACCCTGAACAAACATTTAAATGAAACTTTACCAGAAATAAAGCTACAAAAACTCACCAGCTGGACCCACCACAGAAACAGGAACAAACCAGCAAGGCAGAGGCAGGTGGAACAATGTTAGCCTTGAGAAAGTCCCCGCTGTAGTGAAACTACTCACTCTCACCGTGTAGTTTAACACAAGCCCAGACAGTATTAAATGCTCATGGGTTTTTTCGTATGCTGCTATAAATGGTAACACGTGACTCATAAAAACGACCACAGCGCACGGTCACTATAAACGTGAACACACACTCAACCTGCTCCCGGATAAGCCCCCATTTATTTTACGACCCTGCCTATGGGTATATAACACACTTGGAGTAAAACCAAGGCATTTGTAAACCTGACTGGACCAGGAGCAACACAGTCAGACATCATCCCTGATGTCGGTCTGCCTTTAACCTCCTCACTGCACTTACAGGTGTAGTCAAGGCCTGTTCCATACAAGCTGTAACGACTGTTTACTCTCTGATCACAGAGTCTAAAGCTGGTGTCGTCGGAGCAAGCCCTGAAAGAGCTGGGCCTCAATGAGCATCAGTTACGCTTCACCTGCCGCGTGCAGCTCCAGGACCCACACAGCGACCCCGACACTCTCCACAGAGTCTACACACACCTCAAAAGGTGAAGATGCTCACCTGGCTGCCTGCACCTTATAGTCCATCTGCATTACTTTACATGACTTAAAGTAGTCTGTCTGCATTATTTTCTGCTTGTTCTAATGACGAGCTGTTGTGGTGGTTAAAGCCGGAGCACAATCATACGTGTGGTAATGTGTCACCGAGTCGCCTCCTGTGTTGTTCAGTGTGTTAAAGGGATACACCATCCAACACCTCCCTGATGGGACAGTCATGGTGGAGTCCATCGTCATCAAAGTGTCCTCCTCGGCTGAAGATGTCAACGCCAAAGTCCTTCTGCTGTCCTGGAGTTATCAGGTACAGCAGAGTCCCGTTATATTCTCCTCAGAACCGTTTAATCAGTTCCTCTTGTACGCAGACGCTGGGCTGCACGCGGTGATGTCACACATGCAGCCAGTAGAAGATGAAATAAAAAAAAAAGTTTGGATTTTTAATACAAAACCAAAGATGTGAGACAAAGTCAGAGGAGTTTTCCTCTCTGCAGAGACAGTTCCTAAGCGGAGTCTCGGGTAAAAATGAATATTTGAGGAGAAATCTCGGTGAATTGGTGCTTCTGAAACTTTAGAAGAATGATTGGGACGTAATAGCAAACAGATTGTAGCAGTTGTGCTAATTCCTCTGTTGCACTCTTATGTCCATTTATTTGGAATTTTCTTCTCACTCTGGTCTCCAAACCCCCTCTCAGTTCCTCTAGTAGGAAGGGTTTTAGACACACACGATGATTTCTGCTACTTTCCGACTTCGTCACAGCTCCAAAGACGTACTTATTTTTTCGTCGTTTCAGACCTCGGTTTGGAATCTTTTTTGGAAACGTTTAAACGCGTCTTCCGTCGGGGAAGCGTTACGATCGTCACCCGCTAACAAAACCGTTTCTGGGTTTAATTAAGACCAGCAGTCAGATCAGGTTTACTCATCTGATGAGCTGCTGATGACACCAGATTCTTAACTATTTTAAGTGTCCTACTGCAAGTACAGTCATAATAATTTACAACTTTTATTCAGAAAGCAACTTCCAGAAACTTTGGAGAACCTTAGTGTCAGGGTTTGATGCTCTTTACCAGTAGAGCAGGGCCGGTGTGGGTGGACGGTTTGAGACGGGGGCTTTGGCACTGAGGAGCTGAAAGCAGAAAGGTTTCTGTGGTTTTAATGTGTTCCATGTGTGGCACCGAGCACGAGAACAACAGACTGATGCCGCTTTCTCCTTCTTTGTTTCGACATTTCTGTTTTTATTCACACAGTCCTACGTGTAGACCAGGGGTGTCAAACTCATTTTAGCTCAGGGGCCACATTGAGGGAAATCTAGTCCCAAGTGGGCCGGACCAGTAAATAAAAAAAAAAACTTCAGATTGTTTTCTTTGTTTTAATACAATCAATATAAAACAAGCCTGGAGCCTGAGGACAGTGTATCCAAAATAGTACAAGTACAACACCTGAAGTGTACTTGAAAAAAAAAATTAAAAAAATCAATAAATTAAAAAAAACATTCCTTAATGATTCAAAGAGCTTACAGATCACATGGTTAGATCAGTTTCATGCAGCACTTAAAGTATATTTGACTCATTTTACTTTACATCTTTTAGCTTTCACCAGCACATCAACATCAGAAGTCACATCCTGAGTGGCGGCCATCTTCAGGAAGTGATTCAAGTTCTTGTGTGAGCCTTGAGCGCAGCTTTGTTTTATTTATACTCATTACAGAGAAAACTTGCTCACAAAGATAAGTTTATTTTCACTCTACATTGTAAAGTATGAAAATAAAGTTTACACAACCATCTCGCGGGCCGGATTTAACCTGCTTGCGGGCCGGATCCGGCCCGCGGGCCGCATGTTTGACACCCCTGGTGTAGACGTCTGCAGTAAACATATGTTATTTACATTCCCCGAATAAACTCCCAAGGTTTTGTTTTTGCGAGTTTTTTGATGTTCGCAATGGAATTGAAATTTTTTCTGAGCTAGCCTGACAGGTTAGAAAAATGTAAAACAACAGAAGTAGAGAAATGCTGTAAGTTTGGCTTTTTAGCGTGAAAATCGCAAACACAGATGTACTTGTACCACAGTGAGACGGGGTCCATTTGTGATGCGTTAATATCTTTTCAGGACGAAGACCTGGGTAGTTTCCTCTCCTCTCTTCTGAAAAAGGGCCTTCCGCCTGGGCTCTGCTGAAACATTGTGTTGTCTGAGGAAGCTGAACGTTCAAACAGCTCCAGAGAAGTGCTGTCAGTGGCCCGACTCCATCCTGCTCACCGGTGCAGAGGCGATCGTTCGGGACAAGAACAGCAGGGCTACAGCCACAGTGTCGCTGGGCTGTTGAAGTTACGGAGCTTCTGACAGCGAGGCCCTGGGGCCTTTTTGAGGCGAAGCAACCGTGTGAATGCTTCAAGACATTTTTGTAGCTCCTTCATGAACGCTGTTCACGATTAATGGTTTGTCATCGACAGTTGCAGCTCAGTGGTTTGAAAGCGCTGTGTTCTGATTAGATTAGTTACGTGTTCTGTCCTGTAGGCGGGATTTGTCCTGCCGGTGAATCACCTGAGGGCGGTGGGATTTTTCACTGACTCATTTAGCGAAAACAGAGCCCAGAATTCATATTTCTGTTTTATTTTTGAAGAATTGACTGTAAATAAACACTTTTTACTGAGTATTTCCACGTTGATGCGCTGTAGTCACATATCCAGGGTGTTTGTGGTTGCGGTGTACTGTCGGCCGTGGCCCGCGATGCTGTAGACCCCTCTGCTCCTGTTCATGAGCCCCCACAGCCACGACCTCCTTAACCACTCCCATCTGAAGTAGCTGGTGGTCAGGAAGTACAGCACGGGGTCCAGACACGTGTTGAGTGTGACCAGTGCCATGGTGACCCGCCGGGCGTTGTAGATGGCGGCACGTACGGAGCAGCTCTGGATCACGTCCATGCGCTGCAGGAGGTGTAGGAAATACACCACGTGGTTGGGTAGGAAGCAGAGCAGCGTGATGACCATGATGGCGTAGATGACGCGCACCGCCTTTTGTGCCGTTTTGGTTCTGATGTTGGAGATGCGTCTGGCTGCCAGCGGGTAGCACACCAGTATGACCGCGGAGGGCAGCAGCGAGCAGAAGACCAGACTCGCTATGCTGTACGGCCGGAGTCGCTCGTCCCACTCTGTCCTGGCAAAGTTCTCGAAGCAGCTCTGGCCTGAAGAGTCATCTCCGGTTTTCAGTGGACCCATGAGGATGAAGACGAGGACGGCCACTCCACCAACACACCAAAATACCACGCTCACACCCACAGAGTACCAGGGGCTCCTCACCCTCAGATACGTATGTGGGTGCACGGTGGCCACGTAGCGGTCCAAGCAGATGCAGGTCATGAAGCAGATGCTCATGTAGATGTTGGCGAAGAACAGAATCCCGGTGACGAGGCAGGCGGAGTCCCCGAACACCCAGTTGTTCCTGTTGAGGTGGTAGTGGATCCGGAAGGGCAGCGTGCAGAGGATGACGATGTCCGCCAGAGCCAGGTTGCTGATGTAGACGCTGAAGGTGGTGGGCGGGGTAATCCTGAGGGTGAAGACGAACAGCGCCGCCAAGTTTCCTGGTAACCCAACAACTAATGCTATGATGTAGACCACCGGGAAGAGCTGATACTGGAACTCCGCCGCAGGGTCGGTGCAGTTCGTCCCGTTCATCCTGACTGTGTATGATATTAATATGATGATGAAGACCAGCAGGCAGGTGATCAGAAACCAGCCGCGTGGAACGCCTCCTGTAAAGGAACAAGACCGATGTTTCCACTCAGTCTTTCCGCTTTTACTTTCCTGCAACCTCATAAACAACCGATTTTAAATCCAATATTTTACTATTCTGTTTTTAACACTTGAATTATTTTAATTGCTTCAGTTTTTTTATTTTCTTTCTCATTTCAGTCACCAGAAGAATTACAGCACCTAAACAACGTGAAGCGATTTTGGAACGCTGCCTCGCGTCGAGCCAGAACTAAACTCCTGCAGCTCTGGTTTTACTTTTACTCCGAACGCTTCTAAAAGAATGTTAAGTCTGAAAACTCGTGCGAGTTTAAATGTTTAAGTGTTCATCATTTTCTCAATCTGGCTTTACTTTCATATAGAAGAACATTTGAATTATCAATGAATGATTATTCATAAAATCACTCACTTGGGTCGTAAATTCAAAAAGCCCTGCTGCGGGTTGAGATGCGCTCCTCCAGCTGCAGCGTGCTGCTTCTACAGATAGGATTTCCTGTTTCAGCGTGAAGAAAGGTGCAGGAAACCAAAAGATGATGAGTTTCAGCCCGCACTGCAGCATGTGACTAGGAGGAGTTCATTACAGATTCTGTTTCTCCCACACACACACGCTCACACACTTAAGAGTTTCAGATGGAAAAACATTTGAATTTCAAAGATAACTGGAGCTGCACTAGCCACCTAGAGCTCTATCTGAACTCTAACATTTGTGATGACTGGTGAAACACTGGTTAGTGAGTGGAGCTGCAAGTCTTTCTTCAGATTCAAATAAAATTACAGAATTTATTTTTGCCATTTTTTTTTACTTGGCATTAAAATGTGGAGAATAAATATAATTGGAGGTTACTTTATTTTATTATTATTTTTTTGTAGTACTACTATAAAGTAAATGTCACGTGAGGGTACACGGGAATAAACCCAAATGCAGGAGGCAGGATGACTTGATCCAATTTTGAGTTACTTTAATAACAAAAAGTCACCACATAAGTGGGAAAAAGGACATCACAGGTCCTACTTGAAACAAAAATCTACTAATGATGAAGATCTACAATACTACAGACACCAGCAACACTACACAACAACACCACACCATGCACTGGGAGCAGCTGCTTAAAATACATGGTGTGACAATCAGGAAATTGCAGTCAGCTGCGGTGCTCCACAGAGGGGCAGGAGGAGCCACAGCCAACCTGCATAGAGAAGAAACACACATTAAAAACAATCATGAGGTGTAAACCATAACACTAAAAGGTTAACCTTACATTAACCTATACATTCAGTATACTTCATAGTGTAGATTTTGTAAACGTACACTAATAGTAAACTTTAAAGATGCATTGCATTTAGTACACATTAATGTGTACTTTCATAAACTATAAGTATACTTAAAGGTCATCACAAGTAAACAAAGTTTATTACAAGTATATCTGGTAGTTTAAGTGTATTTCAAAGTATACTTGATAGTAAACTACTAGTGTACTTGCATCTGTGTACTTGGAGAATAAAATATACTTGGGGTCATATAGTTAATAAAATACACTTGAAGTATACAACTTTTTGGTAAGGGTCACTTGAGGAATTATGTCACACCCTTTTGCAGAATTAAACCTCAGGGTTGTTTAAGGTCAAAGGTCAGACAGGCCCTGAAGCAGCAGAGCAACCCCAGACCATCACACTGCCACCACCATGTACAAATACCAGGACATATACCATTCAGAAATTTCTAATGTGTCCCATCAGTCCACAGGATACTTTCCCAGAAGGATTTTTAAATAAAAAAAAAGGTGGGTCTTTGTGTTCTTGGCCTATTAAAAGATCTTCAAGCGGACACTGGATACAAATAGTAGCCTACTTCAGATTTGTTTTAAACTAGATTGTCGTTAGTCAAATACGTTAAGGGGTATATTTAATTGGAGTATCCGTTTAGGTAAAATTGTATCAACAAAATTAGATTTCAGACTGTTTTTGTTTATTTTACTTTCTGGCTGAATATTTCTGACTTGGTGCTCTTATTTTGAAGGGACTGAACCGGATGTTTACTTGTGCAGCGATTAGTTAGCTAATGTTCGCTAGCCTTTGTCACACCAAACTAAGCAGCTTCAAAATACTAAGGTGTGTTGTGCAGCAGTAGCCCAAAGTATGAATACCAGCCCCCTCGCTGCAGCAGACAGGTGTTACATCTGCCTGAGTCCCTTTGAGACGCAAACACGGGGCTTCTGGAGACCTGCCTGCATGTCTGTAGCCTCGACTGCATCCTCCAGTGGTCTCACAGGTAAACACAGTTCAAGTTTACTGCTGATTTTGCTGTTCATAATAATTCTTCAGTGTCTTCACTTCAAAATTAAATTTGTTTCAATAACCCAAAAGTGATGCATCAGAGCTTTTGAAACAATATCTGATGCAAAAAGCTAATTGGAACAACCTCAGTTTAGAGAAACAGAGATTTAGTTCTGATCACACATGAGCTGTAAAGGGTTAATTTACATCTACTTAAGGAACCATAAGACCTAAGATTCCATAGTAAATATGAAATCAATCTTATGGATCTTTGGGTACTTTTAACCAGAAGATTGGAACTTTTTACTGCAGGGATTATTTAACACTTCTTATTAACTGAGAGACAAAAGAAGAGAGAGTAACCTTTAAAACGTTTAAGAAGATTTATTTCTAAATAATTTTAAACAAGACTAACTCTAAATTCTAAGTGAATGGATGGATCTTGGCGTGAATGAGACGTGAGATGAATGGTGTATGTGTGAGTGATGTTTGTCATCAGAACTCTCGTATCCGGAGAAGCAAGTCTGAATGATGGTTTGATGTTTTGCTCTTAAGCTATGATCATAGTTTCATAAACACATGAGACGCCATATTGTCGCTCCACACATACCCTTCAGGATGAGACTTCCGTACAGATCCAGAATGCCAGGTCCTCGGACCCCCCTTTCAGTACCGGAGCCGATGAAACAGAGTCAGCAGTAGGACAGACTCGTCTTTGGATTGTCTCCAGGTAAGAAGTGACAGTTGGTTGACAGCGTCAGATGGACCCGGAGGGTCAGTGAGTTCAGCTTTTATTCTGAAAGGAACCGTTGCTTGGTTGGTAAAATGCAACAGATTTTATCCAACTTGTTGGTTCTCTGCTTAAAAAGGAAGTCCGGGTGGCCGGTCCGATACTTCTCTTAGAATGCGGTGAACTGAACTAAGATGGCGTGGGAACTGGTTTTATTAATCTGGATGCTTTGATTTACGGTCGAATCGAAGTTGGCAGATTTATAAACACCACAGAGACTATGCCACGCTTCAGAAAGGAAGGTTCTGATTGGATCAGTGAAAGCAATGTGTCATGTGTTTACATTACGTGTCATCAGGATGTCTAGTGCAGCTAGATTAAAGTCATATTACTTATTGAAACTTACTAATCATAACATTGTCATTTCACAGATTGGTCAACATCTTATTATTGACTAACACTTTGTTTGTTTAGCTTTATTAAAAATAGAGTTCTTTGATTTATCAAAAAAGAAAGAGTCCTTTGTCTTCATTCTTATTTTGGGCTGGAAAGGAAGCAGTTTAGAAGCAAATGCATGAGACCTTGAACAATATCTCATGCAGATTAGTTCCTGCTGAGGAGAGGGGTGAAATGACTTTTAGGTGGAAAACAGTCATTTCATTCCGTTACAGAGCTAACGGCTGGTCTGAGTTTCAGTAGGTTTCTGCAGTTCTAAAGGCATATTAATCAACTTTTCATATGTTTAAATCATTTTCTTGAGCCAGTTGGAGCTAAAATGACCCTTTACAGGGTTAATGAAGGCTCAGCCCCACCACCCCTTATGAGCAGAATACCTCGTATGCAACTTCAGCCTCTCTGGACCGCTGCCCTTAAGTCTCACAAAGTCGTGCTTTACAAAAATCCATGTTTACACCTTAGGACAGACGAGCTACACCTGGTTAGCATGTCTTGTAACATGTTCATCACGGTGGAGCCTCAGAAGAGACACAAAACCTTTATCTGATGACGCTAAATACATAAAAAGATTGCCCGACCACAATAGGAGTCAAACAAGGGTCAACATTAGGAATTTTCTGAATTACGGGAGCTCAGAAACACGATTCCTGATTTGTTTGACTTAGTGATGAACCTCTCCTGTAGACACCAATGAAGACTGAGGAGACATATCAGCAGTTAGATTAAGTGTTAAAAAGAAGAATTCACTGCAAGGAGGAGAGTTTCAGCTTTGTTTATATGCAGTGACACTAGGGGTTTCTAAAAGCAAGCCAAAACTGCAAAGTTTCACTTTAAAAAAACACTGATATCAAAAGCTTTCATGGCAGTTCACTGGAACCTTGTTTTTAAATTGCTGACATCATTACAGGATTGCTCAACCAAATGTAGTGGTCATTTAGCAGAAATTAGCTGCACATCTAAATAAATGAGGCTAAAATCTAATTAGTAATGGAAATTTTATGGCAACATGAGGCTTATAAAATATAATTTTCTATCAAAACAACTTAGGCAAACTGAGCGTAGCAAATAATTTAGCTGTTTTGTGTCTTTTTTAAGACGGCTAACACGTGCCCAGTGGATCGAGCCAGTTTTGCTTTTGCCCACCAGAGGGCGTGTCCTGGAGAGGAGGTACAGAAGAAAATATGTTGATGGCATCTTTCTGTCACCAGTTTGAGGACTTCTGTATTTTGCATGGGAACTTTGAGTAGGCTGGGGTGTTTGTGTTGCTGTAGATCAAAGTGAGGATGCAGAAAAAGGATGATGAGGATGAAGAGGTGGGAAACAGCGCTGCTATCTGCTTCTGTGTGATCTCTGCAACTGTGGGTAACGCTGCTCCAGATATTTAGTTTTACTATTGATTGGATGATCTGATAACATTTATAGCTTATGCTGTTGTCTCAGGCGTCACGCGGACTGCTTGAGGCCATCGCCATCCTCTGGTCCAGAGGGGGTCTGGATTTGTCCTGACTGTGTGTTGAGCCCTCATAGCACCGGTGGGACTAATAAACTGTGATTTATAGTTGGTCACAAAAAGATAGAATATTTTGGTTGATAAAACAGAAACACAGGGTGACATGTATGTAGCATGTAATTCTGCTCACCAGTAAAATCAACCAAGTTTCTCTACAGGCTTTTAACTGAGTGGCCCATCTTCCTCGCTGCATGCAGTTCATGGATTTGTTCATTTGCAAAAACAGATAAAAGCCATTTTTGATCAAAATCACCTGGATTTATTTTTGGCTAATATCACCTAAAGTAAATAAAAATAAAAAGATGCAGTTCTTAAATTACAGCTAAACACAGAACATAAGAACAAGCTGCATCTCTATAAGAACCATGTGAGTCAACAATGGAGGGAATCATCTGAGGTGTGCTTTTATTTTTTTTTTTTTGTTAGGAAAATGTTCTGTTTGTTTACACGGAGGGGGCGGGGCTAAAAGCTTTTATTGCAGCCATAGAACATAACTACAAGTAGGATTGTAATGCTGAAGTTGAAAGCACGATGATCCAAACACCACCTAGTGGCTGGTTGCAGGTGTAGGTACCGGATCTGCTCGGGCCGCCAGATCGGCTCTTGATCCTGCGCCTGCCGATGACATCACACTAGATGGGTGATAGGATGTCGCCTCCCGTGTGTCGAGCCCATACTGTCCCAGCAGCTTCACTGAACGGCGTCGGAGCTCGAGGATCCAGACTAGAGCTAGCAGAGGTCCACACTCCCTCCCCCCAGCCGGTTGGGTCTGTTTAACCCTAGAAAATGTGGATTTGTCAAACAGCTGAGTTATTTGTTCATTTCTGCTCGCTGTGCTGTATTACACGTGCAGTGCTGCAAATGTTCTAGTTTTCCTCTACTTTTATTGCTTTTGTTTAATTTAGATTGTTTTGTTGTGGATTTTTACGCTAGCAGCTTTTGGGGGGTGTGGCCGTGTAGACATCAGCCAATGATAGACCAGAGGAGGCGTGGCCAAAAGCACATAAAAGATAAAGTAAATTTCACGCATCTTTCGTAAAAAATCTCCCAGATCAGAACATGTGATGAAGAAGAATAACTTCCTTACAGATTTAAATAACAGTTAAATTCTCCAGCTTTT